ATGCCGATTACAAAATATTTGCAGCAATCTTGGCAGAAAGAATTAAATTAGTATTAAATACATATATACACCCAGACCAAAATGGATTTCTGCCGGGATGCCAAATAAAGAACAACATGAGAATAATACTTAATGCTTTAGAATACTATGAATCACACCCGGAGAAGCAGGCAGTGTTGGTTTTTCTTGACGCCCAAAAGGCCTTCGATAACCAAAATTGGAAATTTATGATTGAACAACTACAAAATATGCAAATTGGGGAAAAATTTGGGAAAATTATAGCAGAAATCTATACCAAGCAATCAGCAAGGATAATTATGAATGATGATATAACAGACAAATTTAATATAACAAAACGAGTTAGACAAGGCTGTCCACTTTCCCCCTTACTATATATTCTATCATTGGAAACCCTGTTGAAAAAAATTAGAAAAGATCAAGGAATTGAAGGTTTAAGGATTAATAGAGAAGAATACAAAGTTCAAGCCTTTGCTGATGACTTAGTGTTTTTGACAGAAAATCCTATGGAATCTATACCTAATTTGTTTCAAAAAATAGAAGAATTTGGAGAAGTGGCTGGACTAAAAATTAATAAAAATAAATCGAAGCTAATTGTTAAAAACCTTACGGAAATCCAAACAAAAGATTTGATAGATAATATACAAATTCAAACAACAAAAAAAATAAAATATCTAGGAATCTGCTTATCCACAAGAACATCAGCAATTAAAGAAAATAATTATGATAAATTACTAGAACAAACAAAGAAAGATTTAGAAAAATGGGAAAATTTACACATTTCATTCCTAGGAAGAATTTCGGCTATCAAAATGATTATATTACCTAAATTTCTATATTTGTTTCAGGTCACCCCAATTAAAATAGATAAACCGTTTTTTGAAAAGCTGAATAAAATAACATCTAAATTTATTTGGCAAGGGAAAAGGCCACGAATAAAATTTAAACTGCTTCAGGATACAAAAGATAGAGGAGGAGCTGCACTCCCTGACTGGGAGATATACTACCAAGCAGCAGTACTATCGTGGGTCAAAGATTGGATAGAATTAAAGGACTCTAGAACTTTAACAATTGAGGGACACGAACTTCAAACTGGCTGGCACTCCTTTATGTGGGATGAGAAATACAAAACACATTCATATTTTAAAACACATACAATAAGGAACTCAGCACTGGATTCTTAATAATAGAGGCATTGTCTAGAAGCATCCTGAAAACATTTTGAAACCTTTTATTCTGTTTATAATTATATTACAGTTAATATAAATAAGTAACATTTCAAACTAGCTGCTATTTAAATAAGGTCTTTCAATCAGATTCTAAAATGTTCTTAAGAATTATTAAAAGGCTAGAGAAAAAATGATTTGGCATTTTTCTCTCATACTTTTATGCATTACCAGGATTCCATTTGATATATTTATACCCAGCTCACCTTGTTAATTACAGTGCAACTGAGAAATATTTTAACTTTTATTCCACATTTTTTATGGAAAGTAAATCACAAAGTAAACACTCTAACCCATCTATTTATTTGTACCCTGCCTTTATTTTTACAAATGACTCAAGGGTAAATATATTCAACATACCTTCCTCTTCCTATTTTCCCCACAACCCTGCGAGGTGGGTTGCATTGAAAGAGTAACTGGCGCAAAGTTATCCAGCTGGCTTTCATGGCTAAGGCAGGACTTGAACTCATGGTCTGCCACTTTTTAGTCTGGAGCCTTAATTCACTAGACCAAACTATCTCTTTTGCTTGACTGTCTTACCATAGCTCTCTGTCAAAGGCATCCAGGTCAGGTGTGTGAATCACTTTTTTCAGACTAGGGCAGCACTTGTAATCCACCTGGGTCAAGTTTGATCTCCAAGGATTACAGAAAAGGCAGATGGCATGGGATTGTGTCTTCACTGGATAGGCAGAGCAAATGTTTTCCAGCAGGGGGCCATGAGGAAATGGAAGGTTAGTGATGACTTATTTTTCCTTGTACATATTGTCACTTTTAAACAAAAATATTTGACTACAGTAATTTGTTGGCAGGAACTTGGTGAATTATTGAGGTTACAAATTGATGCCTGGAAGGCTGCAGGTGGCCATGAAATGCTCATCCATTATACTTCCATAATTTTATGCAGCAATATTGATACACTATACAGCGGTTCTTGATAAATTAGATATTAGGTATTGGTAAATAACATGCTTTTCATCTATATAGGGATGGATAACTTCAGGTATCTGTTGTGACCAAGGCTTACTGAGTCATTGCAATACACAATTAGTCCCAAATAAATCTATTTTACGTTCATTCCCAGCTGAGTCCCAATTAGTTGCAAAACAAGTCCTTCAGAAATCCTTCGGGATTATCACCATCCTTTATCTTCTTTGACACCCTGCCATAGGCCTTACTTGGCAAAGTCCCACAAAATTCAGAAATAAACAAGAGATGCTGACTGGAAACAGATTTAGCAACACTGCTTTCCTGCAAAAGGCCCAAGTGCCTTTGTTTCTCTTTTAAGCCTTATGGGAGGGGCCACTCATCTTCTGGCCTTACTCCCGAGTCGTCCCTTTTGCTTTAGCTGCTCTTGCCTTCTGGCAACTCTGTGCATACTTGCACTAGGAATAGGCTCCTCCTGTTCCTCTGCCTCTCTGCTGTCAGACTCTGGGGGCTCCGGAGTCTGTGCATCACTCCCAGATGGCCCTGGCCCCATCTCTGCCTCCGACACAGAGCCCTTGTCCGGGCCTTCCCCAGACTCCAGGACTGGCCCATGTTCCTCCCCTGTCCGACTCCACTGCCAGCTCCGCAGGGTGATGGCAGACCACAACAGTATCAAGAGTAGCAATATTATTTGAATAACATGGGTTAGGATTGAAAGAATTTTTTTTTTCAGGCTTTTTTGTGGATGGCAATGGTGGGCCTCTAACCAGTTTAATAATATTCCTCTCTTAAGCCCTCAACTTAAAACTTAAATGACATGTTCACATTGTATCCATTATTGAGGATAAAAATTTTTCTTGGAAAAGAGGACTACCTTAAGTCACAGCTTGTAACTCCCAGGGCCGAATTGCTGCTATGTCCTCTACTTAGAAGGTTCAACTGACACAAAATGCTACTTTGTTTCAGGAAATCTAATGGGAGACATCTGTATATTCAATGTATTTAGTTATTACCATATTTTTCAGACAGTAAAATGCACCAGACGATAAGATTCACATTAGCTTTAGAGGAGGAAAACAGGGGAAAAAATCAGCCTCTGCCTCCCAGTATCCATCCAGTATTCATCTGGCTAGCGTCCTTGCAGCAAACAACAAACAGCCTGGTCAGCTTCAGCACATTATCACCGCTGCGGCCCGTTCACCATCGCGGCCCATTTGACGCCATGCGCAACCCATTCACCGCCACCCATTCACCATGCCATTTGCTGGCGAATGGGCAGCGGCAGCAGTGGTGGCGATCCTCACCGCTTAGAACAGCTGCTTGGCACCACACCAACCCCCTCCCCCCACCAAAATATTCACTCTATAAGATGCATTTCCACACACTTTTTGTGGGGGGAGGGGGGAGTGCGTCTTATAGTCCAAAAATGTGGTATATTCCTAACTCATTTCACTCCCTTTGATTTTAAAAACCTACATCAGATGGGGCCATGCCCTTTTGGAGATGTAGCGCTTAACTACTATTTCATAAATTTTCCAAATATTTAAAAGTTACTAACTTTAAGTCAGGGTTCCAAAATTAAGGAGCTTCTTTCCCGAGAAGGCTTGGAAACTATATATATAGCAAGATGCAAAAAGTTATGTCCAACCAGCTATCTTTCTGTGGTCCTGAGCGGGCAGGGACCAAAATGTGTTCCCTTGCCAATACTTTAGGGCACCCATTTTCAGAATGCAGTCTTCCGTGTGACACAAAACCACAATGTTTTTCCTGTTATGTAGGACACAGAAAGCTGCATTATATCAGGACAGAACACTGACATACCAAGTTCCACAATCATGTTATGCTTTATGAGCTCTTCTAGTGACCCAAAAAGAAGACTCTTTCCCAGCCAGAAGAGAAGTGCCGAACCTGGAATTTTATTTGCTATTTTTATACAGCCTACAATGAAGTTCTTTTCTCAACTTATGAAATAAATGTATTAGTCTTTGAAACAAAATGTCAAATATATAATTTGTGCATTTTCTCCAATTGTTATTCAGTTTACAAATGCATTCTCCTAAGGTGTAAGATTTTATTCAAAGAGGTTTCTGCCTAAATAATATTTTTCTCTTTTCTTTCAACCTCTTGCAAATTCTGAATTTCTTGTTGTTTCATGCATCTCAAAATGCTGGCTAAATCTTCAAACTTTCATACCAAATGCATCTGTTCTGATTAAGAATTCTATGAAACTATCATTTTGCCCCAATGAATGGTATCCAGAATTTTAAACCATACCAATAAAATGAATTTGAAAGATTTCATGTTTCAATTTTCACAACTGGCTTATCTGCAGGTGGCATTTTTCATGTTTTGATTACAAATTCAAGAGTCTGCTTATTCAGATAGTCTTACATATATACAGAATATATTTTAAAACGTATATTTGGAAGGTAAGCAGAACCCAATCTTGGCGGTGCATTTTGAACCTTTTTTTCCTGCTCAGTATATACACTGCTTAGGAACCAAATTATTTTGCACTTACTACTACATTAAAAAAATCTACTGCAATATTTTATGTTTAAAGAACAACCAATCTGATACTTTCCTGAAGTGTTCAATTATAACTTCCCTAATTCCTTATTACTGGCCACATTGGCTGACGCTGATGGGAGCTGAGGAATAGTCTTAAATGAACTAAACATAAGATTCAATTTTTTAGTTTAAAATAATGATCCTGAACTCTGCTTATAAAATCAAACTGCCATCTACAAATATTTTAAGTAATCTGCTCTTTCACTTTTCCAGGTTTAAGTGCACATTCAGTGGAATAATGATAGGAAACCAAAAGATTAATCCATTTCTATTTGAAATGTTTATTGTGAGTACTACACAAAAGAAACAGTGACAGAGTACAGATGTTGTACTATGAATTAGGTGTTTTTTTTAAAAAAAACAATATAAATTAAACCAAAACACTTATGCGCCGGTGCTAAATATGCCAATTCTTCTGTATTCTGTTAGAAGTATACCCAGTCTGAAAATGTCTGATTCAAATGTTCTTTCTGAATGCAGAATGCTCAACAAGGATACCGATCTGGGACTCGTTTCCTGAAAGAAGCAATAGAACTGAGTATAAGAAGATGCCACAGGACACGAAAGTATTTCTCTATTCAAAATAGCAATAGCACTTAGATTTATATACACCCCATAGTGCTTTACAGCACTCTCTGGACAGTATATAACAGTGATGGCTAACCTTTTTGCCATCGCGTGCCAAGAGGGGGGGCGGGGGAGGGCCGCGCGTGCACGTGCCCACGCGCATGCAACCCACCCCCCACCCGGCACATGATGGCCTGGTAGGCCGGTTTTTCTTTCTCACCTGGTTCCAGATCCTCTCTATGCATCTGGGAAGGGCAAAAACAGCCTTTCCCACTCCCTTGGAGGCCCTACGAAGGCTGAAAGGGCCCATTTCCCAACTCTCGGTGAGACAGGAAGTGACACTTTTTGCTGTCCCCAGCCACCAGAACCTCTCTAGGAGTCTCTAGAAGCCTCTCTAGGAGTCTCTGGAGGCTGGGGACAGGAAAAAATGTCACTTCTTGTCCCACCGGGAGTCGGGAAATGGGCCCTTTCAGCTTCCGTAGGGCCTCCAAGGGAGTGGGAAAGGCTGTTTTCGCCCTTCCCAGATGCATAGAAAGGATCTGGAGCCAGGTAAGAAAGAAAAACGGGCCTTCCCCACCCCCCTCCAGAGGCAGGAAACAGCCTGTTTCCCTAATTCTGGTGGACCCAGAAGGGCCAAAAATCAGTTGGCCGGCACGCACATGCGCCCCAGAGCTGAGCTGGCATGTCCACTAATATGGCTCCGTGTGCTATGCCATCACTGGTATATAATGTCAACATATTGCCCCAACAATCTGGATCTCATTTTACAGAGCTCGGAAGGATAGAACGCTGAGTCAACCTTGATACTCATCAAGATTGAATCCTAGGCTGTGGGCAGAGTTTGGCTGCAAAACTGCATTCTAACCACTGTACCATCAGTTAATTAGAAATTATAAATCTCAATTTAAGATTTAATTAAGTAGCATTAGCTCATATAACCTGGTAACAGTGTATCATAAAATAAATACTGAAGCTATGTATGCAATATTTAAACTGAAAAACATGGGTAGATAATAAAAAATATAGATGTCCTATTCGTGCATCCCTTCCAACTACTATTACCAAATGAGAGTAATTTTTGGCCTTTTTAAACCACAATCAACAATAGATATATTGAGTCTCCACAGAGATTAACCCAACTATTTATCTTCAACGCCTCCCAAAAGTCAACAATTTCCGCCTATGGTGATTTCCGCCTATATCTGGTGATCTCTCTGAATCTATGTCCTATTCTTGTTGCCTCAGAGGTCAAGACAGTAACCAGAAAAAATCATTCTGCTGAAAATCCTGCCCATCCTTGCAAAGTATTTGATATTCAATTAGCTCATTCCCTCACAAGGACTGAAAAGTAGTTTACCTTGGTGCTGCCTTAATGATGTCATCAACACGGAGAATGACTTCTGCTGCTTCAGCAGCACTTAACAAAACCTGACGTTTCACTTGAAAGCTTTCAACGACTCCTAGACTTGCCATGTCTGCAATAGCAGCTTCTTTCATATCTTCAAGAGATTACAGGGAATGATTAACTTTTTCATGTTTGTTTCTGTTGCAGTTTTCAACTACACAATTATTGTTTATTAAGGTCATCTGTATTATATAAGCTTGTGGATTTGGTTAGTTGGTGACCTGGAGAGGAAGAGCTCAAATGTCCATTTAGATCTGAGGATTGTTTTTGAGTACACAATCAGCCCAGGACTGAGGTTTTATCAGAGATATTTGAAGCTTTATACTAAATTTCCATATATATATTTTAGGCATGGCCACATTTTCTAGGCCTACATGAAGCCAAAGTTCAAAACACATAGAAGAAATTAAGTTGTGTTTGTAATTAATATTAGAATTGAACTCACAACATTTTCCAATGAAAGTTCTAAGTAAGTGAGGGGGGACAGAGAAAGAATATTTTATAAATTTCTCTTTTTTCAGACATTGACATGTAAAAACTGTTTATCAGCAAATGCCTACTTGGGTTTTTTCCCACTCATGCATTAAGATTTTATTAAAACAAGAACTTACCAAGTCCATAGGTATTCTTCCCTTCACTGTGGGCAGCTCGAAGTTGGGAAACCAAATCTGCACTATCATACCCAGCATTGTCAGCTATGATAGTTGGGAGCTACAAAGATAGGCCTTTATTAAAGGACTATTTGAAATCAGTACCAAACAAGCAATAAAAGCTAATTCAAACATAAGATACCATGCAACAAATCTCAATAATATTCATTCACATCTAAGTATTTTCAACTACAGTTAGGATGCTAACTGGGGGACAGGGTCAATTACAGTATTATTCCATTTCCAGAAATATTCCTTTTAATTGGGCCGTTTACATTATATACTGTACATTATTTGGATGGCTACCTTGAAGAGAAATAGTTCAGAATATTAATCAGTATCTTTTTTTCAAGACTCATGGAACAAGTAACTTATCCCACAAAAATGAATGATGATTTCTCCCAAGAGTTAAAACATTCAAAAGGCTAGCCAGCTGGTCTTTTCCATATCTTTTAGCTTTATATATTTATTTCTAATACAATTAACTGGACAGGAGCTTACCGTACTTAGAGCCTTAGCAAAAGACTCCATTGCTAATGATTCTTTGCCAGGGGTTCTTTTTGCAAGCTCCCACACTGCATTAGCCATTAACATCTCTGAACAGCCTGAAAATTTGAAAAACCAAATCTTAGCCAATGTGAGTAAATACATAATCTTTGCATTGAAGAAAATGTAGATTTCAATGTTTGAATACTCACCTCCACCATACACAGTTCTAGTATCTTTGACTGTCTGGGCAAGAACACAGAGTGCATCATGCAGTGACCTTTCAGCCTCATCTATGATTTGCTGTGTTGCACCACGTAAGACTATGGTACAAGCTTCACCTAAAAATCAAAAAAGAGAAACATATGTAAATTTAAATTTAAAGAGTCTTAGATTATTAGTTGATACATAAGGACTAGCTCAAAAGCTACTTATAGAAAGTCTGATGCTCACATTCTAACAGGCCTTTATGATATATAATAATTTCATAAATTCTGTATTATATGGGCAGACCAAATCTCAGCATACACACCCCTTTCCAAGCAGATATAGGATGGAGCATCTAATGATTAATAGTTCTACAGAGTGTGTGGCATACATGGTCTCTTCGTTATTACTAGGCTTACCAATTCCACTATACCTACTAGATCAGAAATACAATATGTATGTTATAATGCAAGAGTGTTATGAAAAGTATGGATCATCAATGTGAATTCATGGGATCTCTCCACATATGATCAGGTATTACTTTTACATTCTCTTGCTTTTAATTTTGCATCTTTCCCCTATTTTGTCTGGTCACTGCACAGTACAAGTAATAGTTTATAAATAATTGGATTAGGATTGTTGTGTCCAACATTTAGTAGGATAACTGGAGGATAGGATTGCTCAATCCATCTTACCCATAGCAACTCCAGAGAAATGAATAAGTTTATCTTCACCAATCATGACCTCTTCAATTAGTTTGCAGCTTCCTAGCTTTACAAGTTCTGGGTGATCAAATGTTGAAGCAATTTCGCCACCTAAAAAAATTGAAGTTCACATTAACCATTTTCACTTGCATAATACTCCAGAGATGGACTATTTATCTTCTCAAATTGCTAAAATAAAGCAAAAATGCATTCTTTTCCTAAGTATCTCTGGTAGCTTTATGAAGAAATGACTATTATACTGCTACTTCACAACAAATTGTTATGAAGAACTCCTTTTCTATCCAAAAGAATAGAAATATACTAAAAGCCCATTTTGATTATTTGACTGTCCAGTACCTTCTTTGATGTGTCAATAGAGTTGTTTTTACAACCTGAAGACCAATTTTTAAAAATGCAGAACTATGAAATTTCTCTGAAGAGTATCATAAAAAATCAACAAGGAATAATGTTAAAAGGAAATTGCCATTCAAAACAATTGAGAGCCTAGAAGCTTTTGCACAAGGGAAAGGCATTTTGATTCGTGGAAAAGAGGACATCCAATCTCTGCCCACTGATCCATATTTTCCATTCCCTACATGATATACCTTGAAGTATTCTTAAACTTCGGAATTTTTTCCCCCAGAAGTTAGGAAATAATCGATAATTCTTTGTTTTCATTTTCTCTATCCCATTTCCTCCAACTAAACTGTGTAGGGTAAATAGTGTAGGGTAAATAGTGAAAATTAACACTAATTGTAGAATTACTCTTAAAACTTACCTGTCACAAGAGCTAAACGTTCAACTCCAGCAAAATCTGCGTGCTCAATTGCCATAACTCCAGCAGCAGCAAAAATCTGTTCTGGGTAATTATAAATCAGCTGCCTGTAATGAAAACATACAGCATTCCTAATCACATGGGAAACAATTATTATTCTTCAACTGTTACATCTTAACAAACTTCCTCATGCACACAAAAACAGAATAAATCCAAGCCAATATCTTCTAGATATATGGGAATAAAAATCTGATAATTCTAATTCATAATGCCTGGAAATTATCAGTTTTAATTCAAGATTTCTGAAGGATAGTTTTCAAGTTGAAAGTGGTCTGAACTGACAAAAGCCTTTAAGAGACCATCAGCAAGAGAATCAAAAAGTTGTGGCACAAAACAGGTGACATGCAAACACTGCATTTCAAAATACACAACTCCAAATATCAATGTTCCTAAAATTGTTTCCAATCTTTCTACTACCAAATTAATTTTTTGTAATCCACCAGGCATTTTTCTACTCTCAACTGAATAAGGACAATCATTATGGATCAGGCAAATTGTTAGTACAACAAGTCCTTGCAAGGAAAAACAACTCTATTGTTCATAAGCAACTAATGCTCAGATGTGCATAGAAATTATTGTTAATGGCCCCCGCAGACACACTTATTCATTTTTGGTTGGAAGAATGAGAATGCTCAATAGCTGAAAGAACATGCGGACTATGAACTATTTACTAACTGATCAATAAAATTTAGAACAATGGTTTTTTGGATATCTATGTAATATACTTTTAAATATAAGCACAAGTTATAAATATTAATATTAGACAGAAAATCAATGCACAAAAGGATGCATCATCCACAGGGAAAGGGAAATATCAAAACAGACACAACAGAGAGTGTTACAATGCAAGCTCAACTCATTATGTATGCATACAAAAGAGGTGAGGCTTGGGCGCAATATTATGCTTACCATCTTGTCTATTTTGAAACTGTCCAGGAAAGCTTCTTGGGATACAATCTAACTACTGTCATGCATCAGGGTAATATAGTGGTTTCAAAAGTGTTCCTCTAGTGAACAGAAAGGTTCTTTCTGTCTTCATTTCCAATGCAATGCAGCATTTTCTTTGGGCAAAACAAGCAGGGATGCAAACTCCAATAATTCCCCTTTCATTAACTCCTCCCACTAAAGCTGCTCCTCCAAAATATTAGGTATTTTCATCTGAAGAGCTATAAAGGTAAGATTAACAATTTTTCCACTTTTATTTAAGTGGGAACATTCTGAGTGTAAGTCTAGTGGAGATATAAATAGTGAAACTGAAACTCTAAACTTTCTAAACTCAGCAATTTTAAGACCTGTGGGCTAGAATTACCCAGTTAGCATGCCTGCATATCTTAAAATTACTGAGGTCAACAAACCCTGCTCTAAATCATGCTAATTATGTACAGTGGATATATAAGTCTATACACCTATGGTAAAATGCCATGTTTTTGAGATGTAAAAAAAAAAAAAAATTGACCAAGATGAATCACTTCAGAATGTTTTCCACCTTTAATACAGTGGTATCTTGATATTCAACTGCTTTGAAACCCATTTAATTTGGTATTCAACATATTTTGACGCAAAAAAATTCTCTCAGTATTCATTATTTACTTGGTACTCATCGGTGTTGACTTGTGACTCATTACATTATTTCTAGTGGGAAAAATGGTATTTGGTATTCTGTTTCTGGTACTCATCACACTCCTCAGAACCAAATTAACAATGAGTACCACAGTACCACTGTATAACTTGTAAGCTCTACAATTCAATTGAAAACCAAACTGAAATCTTTTAGGGGGGGAAAATTAACAAAAAATGTACAACATGGTTGCATAAGTATGCGACCCTTAAGACACTTTGTTGAAGCACTTTCTGATCTTATGGCAGCATTACGTCTTTTGGGGTAGAAGTTAATCAACCTGGCACATCTTGCCTTGGGAATCTTTGCCCTCTCTCCTTGCGAAAGCACTCCAAATTTGTCAGACTGCAAGGCCATCACCTGCACACAGGCCTCTTCAGGTCACCCCATAGATTTACAATTGGATTCAGGTCCAGGCTCTGGTGAAGTCATTCTTTTGTTGATCTGGAGATATGCATTGAGTCGTTATTATGTTGAAAGTTGAAATGACTCATCTTCAGCATTTTAGCAGAGGCCTAAAAGTTTTTGCCAAACTTGACTGATATTCATACTTTCCTCCATTTTGACTAAAGCCTCAGTTCCAGCTAAAGAAAAACAGCCCCAAAACATAATGCTGCCACCATTGTGCTTCACTGTGGATACTGTGTATTTCTAATGTGCAGTGTTGTTTTTGCACCAAACATACCTTTTGGAATCATAGCCAAAAAGTTCAATCATAATCTCATCAGACGAGAACACATTTTCCTACATGCTTTTGTCAAACTTAATGTATTTACAAAATATATCTGGGCTTGGATGTTTTTCTTTGTAAGAAAAGACTTCCATCTTGCCACCCTATCCCACAGCCCAGACATATGAAGAATATGGGAGATTACTGTCATATGTAGTATACAACCAGTACTTGCCAAAAATTCCTGCAGCTCATTTAATGTTGCTATAGGCATCTTGGCAGCCTCTTGGACCATTTTTTTTCTTTTTTCATACATTTTGGAGGGACATCCAATTCTTGGTAATATAAATATGGGTAGTTCCCATATTTTTTCACTTGTTGATAATTGTCTTCACTGTGCTCCATGGTATATCCAATGCCCTGGAAATTTTTTGGTACCCTATTCCTGACTAACATCTAACAATGAGCTCCCTTTGATGCTTTGTAAGCTCTTTGCAGACTATGGCTTTTGCTATAAGAGGCAATTTAATAAATGTCAGAAAAGTCCTACTAGAACAGTTGAACTTTATATGGGCTTGATCAAAGTCATTTTAACTGATGGCAGGTGTGTATTTACCATCAGCTTGAATATGATTAATTCTGAACACAGCCACATCCCTAGATAGATAAGACTGTGTCCATGCTTATGCAGCCACATTATTCTAGTTTTTTTATTGTTCTTTTCCACTAAAAAAATTCAGATTGTTTTTCAATTAAATTGTACTGTTTATGTGTTATATAAAAGGTGGAAAGAATTCTGCAGAGATTTATTTTTAACCTCAAAAACCAGGCACTTTAACAGGGGTGTGTAGACTTTTTATATTCACTGGAGCAGCAAGCTTGTCAACCATAACTGTTCAATTCTGCTGGCAAAATACATACCTATTGATAAAACAGTTTATTCCATGCTTTAGAATACGCTCAACCTTCTCCTTCATTTTCTCCTTTTCTGCTTGTTCTATTTCTGCCACCTTTGCTGTGGAATCCACTCTTACACGGGAACCAAATATCTACAGAAAATGAATACAATAATTATATTAACTAAAATTCAATTGTTTAAATTTTATTAAATGTATTATGGAATCCACTTACCTTAATTTTATCAGTATCCATGCCAGTATTGGCAATAAGTATCTTTGCATTTTCAATTTTTTTGGGCTGATTAACTCCAATTTTTTTATCCAACAGAAAACCTGAAAATAGTTTGTAGGGTAAAACAATAAATGATTAAATGAACTGTTTTAAATCTATATACTACTAAAATTCTCATGTATGTTTGATATTTAGTAATCTTCAATTGAGCAAAACTCTGCATCATAGGACAAAACCTCAAATGGGCTAGCCTACAGAATGGTGTGACCTATTATTCCTAAGGGAATGAAATCTGAGAATGTTTTGCCACTTCAGTGCCAATACTGTTCAGTATTACCACAGTGCTGCCTCAATTATGCCTCATTTTCAACATTCCCTGATAGCTTATAAGTTACTGGGGAACCTGGAAGGAACTGATACAATTATTGATGCTCCTTCTCACCTTCCCACTAGCAAAGTCCTTGCTTGTGGAAAACTTGCAGGGAGAAAGTCAATGAAGAAATAGTGTACCCTCTGCCACTCCATCTGCACCCACACCTTGCTGGCCGTTTACAGTCCCTTGCTTGGCACTCACACCTTGCCATCCACTTGCAGTCCCTTGCTCCCTTCTCCTTAACTACTTACCTGCTGGAAGGGAAGGGAGAAAAATGAAGCAAGGAAGGAAGGAAGGAAGGATAGAAAGAAAAGAGAAAAAGAGGGAGGGAGGGAGATTTCTGACATTCACTGCCAGCTTCCAATAAGGAAACTCAATAGAGAAGTTGCCAGGAAGCCAGAATTCATCCTGCTCCCACCAATTTTTTGCTCATCCATAGCCATACTGTTTCTTTGTTTAGATAAGGAAATATCTTTGAAATTTGTTCACTTGGAAAATTTATATTGCAGCCTATTTACTCATGGAATTTACAGGAAATATAATAAGTCACAAGTATTCTAGTGTTTGATAAAATTGCAGCTTCAATTTCTCATTATACATCCTATATAACACAGGTGTCAAACTCATGACGTCACGTGACACATCGCAACGTTTTTCCCTTCGCAAAGCTGGAGTGGGCGTGGCCCATGTGTGATGCAGCTGGCCCGTGGGCCACCAGTTTGACACTCCTGCTATATAATTTTACTGAAGGCTGTTTTTTCTCAACAGCCTTCCAAGTGCGTTGTACGTCATGTGTAAGAATTTGGAAAGGCCAAATCTGCAGTAATGGAAATTCAAATATCTATTTTTGATGAAGTTATAGCTTTATGAAAAGTCTGGTATACATATATGCTCCAAATCATACATAATCTGAGAAATACATAAATAAGAGAAAATTAAAATTATGCAGAATTACATAAGTCTAAGAATCCCTCAAGAATTTGCTTTTGCATTTTATCAAATAATATTGCTACGTTGTTTCTTTGGTTAACTAGAACTTTTAACAATCATCTTTCTATTGAAGTCTGCAACAAGCACTACCATGTTTTATTGCAAATACATTCATACAGCTAATCAAAACCAGTAATATAATACCTTCATCCAAGTAAGAGTCTATGAGACTTCCTCCTAACTTCTTGATGACATGAATAGCTTCTAGGTTTCCAGACCCTTTCAGCCGAAGGACAGCATCTACAGCAAGTTTTGCAAAATGCTCTTTATGATGAGTAAGCAGTTTTGAAGATAGTGTTGTTTCTGCAATGTTCATTAAATCTTTTTGAAATTTGGCTTCGTTTTTACTGAAAAACAGAAAAATATAATCAGGACCACCAACAATAAATTACTTTTTAGCTCCAAGCCTTTCTACAAGATCTATACGTAAACAGGGAAGTCTCATTCTCCATTTTCTAAAAATATATTCCTATGACTTGTTTTTAGAATGTAAAAAAATAGCATTTTAAAATAGGAAACAAATAGCAAGAAACCCCACAATTTCTAGAATTCCAATATTCCTGCTAGTGTAACTTCTCATTCTTGCACTTCAAAGAGGGAGATTTAAATACACTGCTCACAGAGATAACTCAATTCACTGACAAGATATTGTTCCCAAAGGATGAACTTTGCAGTACTGAAAATCTACAAACATCAAATGTACTACTCATTTACATATACTGTACTTATTTATTGTATTTAACAATATAGTAAATTGTTGCATCCTGGAATAGACCACTTTCCTAATTCTAGGACAAGGGAAATGGTAGCTTGCATCTATTTAATGCTTGCATTAGTTTCCACAGGTATATATACTGTACAGAATTCTGAACATTCAGTGTATTTTGTTAGAATGCTAAAGATCCTGTGTTTCAAATCCTTCCATAATAGCGAAGAGCAATCAAGTTGTAAGCACTATTTTCTATAACCATTTATTAGGCATAATTTTGACCTCACGTTTGATACAAAAATGCTACCTTGCCTGTGGCTATACTAACCCATTATCCACAGCTGACTTCACCAAGGCTTCTCTGGCTGCTCTTGTGGCTTCTCTCCAGCCAGCAATAATGGTCTGAGGATGGATTTTTCTTGCAACCAATAGTTCTGCCTCCTATTAATGAAATATATTAGTATAATTTTGTTTCCATCCTGAACTTATGCAAGCGTATCAAATATTTTTCAATTCTGTTGAATATCATATCTAGTACTGTGCTGCATGAAATCCAAACTTAAAAAATCTATTGTGAGTTTTCTCTTTGTTTGGTACATTTCAAAAATTATACTGAAACTGATTAATTGATAGCATTTATTTTTATAATTTCCAATATAATATAAAAAATTAGCACTACCATTTTTCTCAATTTCTCCTTATATAGTATCTATTATAAATTGTCTAGCAGAGAACAGCTTTTTCACATTTAAACCTCAATGATTTAGGAGCTATTTTTAAATAAAAGTTTATTTTTAAATAAAACTAGCTTCTCAATAGTTATATTTTCTTTATTAAAAACAAAGATATTACAACTTACTCTTAGCAATTCAGCTGCCAGAACAGTTACTGAAGTAGTTCCATCACCAACTTCATCATCTTGAACCTTGGACATATCTGTAAGAATAGCATTTTATAATTAATAGTTCCCATTTGTTACATTGAGATCTCTCCAGGACTATGCAGTGCTTTTCATTCAAAAGGAAGAGTGCTAAAGAGTTGCCAATTCCTTAATGTGCAAGCCCATTTCCCCTTGGACCTTGCTATAGTTGTGTAGAATAGCAGCATGATTCTCAGTAAAGACTGTAGCTGCTTTAGTTACATTTACTCCAAAGTACTTTTTACCCTTTGAATCCAGCACTCCACACAGCCTCACTGTGCAGATAATAGAAATGTCACACATAAGCAACGCTATGCAGATTGTTGAATCTCCATAAGAATAGATGAGGTCTCCACCAGTTTGCTTTTTCTAGGCAAGATGTATCCTCAGCTTTTCTTGGCAAATAATTATATTTGTCTTGGAGCACAAAATCAGCTTAGAATAAGCTGATAAAGCCAAACTAAAGCTACTATAGATATTTTTAATCAGAAGTAGAATATACATACTGTATTTTTTACTAAATATGTATTTATTTATACATATAATTTATGAATAATTTATAATTTTTAAAAGTATCTGAATAATATATTTAAGCATACATACCAACCAAAACTTTAGCTGCAGGATTATCAATTCCAATTGATTTTAAGATTGTTGCCCCATCATTTGTCACTGTCACTGTCCCCTCTCTTCCAGTACTCAGAAGAATCTTGTCCTGCAAGTTACAAATTTGTGATTATAAAGCACCAGATTCAAAATACTAACAATGATGAAAGGTACTCTTACAGAATCTTACCATGCCTTTAGGCCCCAAAGTGCTTTTAACAAGGTCTCCAATGGCAATAGCTCCAATAAAAGAGGACTGTAATAGAAATAGTCAATAAACATAATTTCTTTCAGCTTGGATTCAGGATTCCAAAAATAAAAAATACATTTCAACTTTAATGTAGCTAGTTAATAGAATAAATCAATAACAGACTTACTAAACGAGCAGTTTCTGCTTTTTCTTCATCAGCACCAGCCTTGAAGATGTTCACAGGTGCAAGTGACATGGCTGCCTGAATAAGTTATTGGGATGATATAAACCACATTGAATAAATTAATTTACAATGCACTTCACCAGGAACTACGGGATTTTTTGATATGTGAATGTTACAGCAAATAAATATTTAATGTCATTAAAATAATTATTAAAACAAAATTATAAAAACAAAAGTTAATTTTTGGAGTTCAATTAGGTTAAAGATAATATTAAAAGAATGCAATCTCAATTTGTTTTCACCAATACTATTTTTCATGCATAAGTTCAGTTTTTAAACTTATATTTATCATATATTCATAATATTAGCCATGTTGTTTCTAAGTCGTTTATATCTTGAATGTATTGTTTTAAAGACAGCATGAAAGTGATTTTTTTTAACAAAAATCAGACTACGGGTAAAAAACATGAAATTATCTAGAAAATGTAACAGGACTCAAATTCCCAAGAAAATTAAATCTCTGAAAAAGATTGCTCTGAGGGAAGGGTGGGTTTTTCCATGTTAACAGCTTATGCAGACAGTGCTGGGGAATCAAAGTCTATTGTATTGGACAGTTGAAATGCAGCTGGTAGCTTTCTCGACTGTAACAACTACAGAGGCGAAGCTGAGGTTCACGTCACTGACTGATCCTATAGGAATGGTAGAAAAACTCCAGGAAACAGAATATATTCCCATTACATTTTGAAATTACATCTCAAATGAAGGAAAGAAATTCGTTTCCTCGCGACGGTGGAGAACGCTAAGAGGAACTGAGAGGGTGAGGCCCTCGGGCCCGCCTTCCCCAACGCGGTTCTTCTGAAATATGGTCATCTGCCATTCCCATCATCCCTGGCCTACACGCTTCCGAGTCTCTCCGGCTGGGAATGATGAGAATTGAATCTTGCCCTGAAGAAATGGCAATTCACGGGCCTAACATTCCCCACCCAGCCGAGTCCGCTGCGAGCAGTTCTGGAACCTTCCATCTCCCCTCCCGCCGAAATGGCCTAAGATCCCCACCGAGAAGGCGCTGCGATCTCGTGCGCTGCAGTGAAAAACCCCCTCAGCACCGGTCCAAGGCTCACCATAGTGACGATGGTCTGAAGGCTCGAACCCAGCCAGCCGCCTCGTGTCCGGGGATAAAGCCACCCGCTCGTTCCCAAGAGCCAACGACCGCCGGAAATGACGGAAGCGCCCACTCCTCGCCGCCGGATGAGAAAGTTGCATGCCGGGAGATGTAGTTTCTCAACGGCGTGTCCTTGTGTGGCAGTAGCTCGAGCGCTACATTTTGCAACGCATCGCTGAGGACCCCAGCCGCCACAGTTGGTATGTTAGCTTCTCGCAGCATAGAAAAGAAACGACATCAGAAGTGTATTTTATTACAGAAAGGGGGAAAATTCCAGTATTTGAAATTCTCGCTGTTGTACACTAAAAAGCTATACATACGTTTAGCTCTCCTTGATTTACTCCATGCATAGCAGCTGCTTAGGTTCACATTATGTGCTGAGCCATAAACATTCAAAGCATATTGTTGTTTGATGTATTTCAGTCTCTGAAGTGAGCAATAAAACTATGAAACCTATGAAAATAAGTTTATTAAAGCAACCATTTACTAATGACAACCAACAGTTTTTCTTTTTTTGCCTGATGTTTTGCAGTTTGGGTAATAAACTTTAGAGGAGAAACTGTAACTTTAAACAATCAATTGAAACAATTTCATTAATACACTCTCAAATAAGAATGCATAAACATATTTGGTCAATTAATTTTTTTTAAATGTTAATAAAGATTGTTAATGTACCACGCATAACAGAAGCAATTATGAGATTAATGTAAGAGTGAAAGCCAGTATCTCTATTGTACGTATTCTTTCTTCTTGGATATCTACTGTTACTCACCCTTTCATTTCTGGCCCAAATGAAGGTCAGAATGGCAATTTCTTCAACTTGGCAAATGCAAGAAATACAAGTAAAGGCCCTCAGGCTGCATCAGTTACAGGTCCAGAAAGCAAGTATTATCCCAAAGGTGCTCTTTCAAAAGGCAAGTGGACTTTGTTTTTCCTTGAAGATGTTTTGTTTCTCCTACAAGAAGCTTCTTTTCTTGGATGACAAGTGAAATGTCTTCAAGGAAAAACAAAGTCCACTTGCCTGTTGGAAGAAAAATCCAGTCCGATTCCAAGCTGGGAGAAAGATGCTGGAAATAAAATGGAGGCAGGCTACAGGAAAGAAAGTCTGTTTATTTGGTAGCCAGAAACTAGTGACAGCAACATATTTCTGGGGTGGCTGACAAAATGGGGTTGAGAGTAAGTGGGCTTTTATACATTCGTTGGGGCTTTGTGATTGAGATGCCTGTTCCTGTGCAAGAATATGTCCTTCAATATTTTAATGGCTGTTGCCAGATTCCTATGAGGTCATGTAGGGATCATGGCTGGCTCTACAGGCAAAAGGAGAAATGCAAATCCTAGGTGTTTGTTTGAGCTAATCTTGTCAGTTTGGACTCCTTGCCTATTGTGTTGCTTATTTAGGGTTTCGGCTGCTCTATGTTTATGAATAGATTAGCCTAGTCTTTCTGAATGGATACAAAATCTCCATTCCTGAAGATCAGCCTCTTTAAGTTTCTGCTTGAGGCTGTTTTCCTATGGTAAGAAGACTGTGGCTGTTTTCTGCCTTTGTTAAGATTTTTCTTCTCTCTTGACTTCCGGCGGCGATCTCAGCGCGTTAGGGACGAAAGGGGCGATGCTCCGCTCCTGAGTTCCTAACAATCCCGCATCTGGAGCCGAAACAGGCGCTATTGATCTCGTAGTGATCAATAGCTTAAAGGGGAACATCTTAGGACCTCAGAGGAGATCGCAACTTCTCTGAAGGTACAAGATTAAGCCCTTAATCCAGAGTGAGGAAAAACCAGCCTTACGGGACTGGCCAGAGGCGCTGATAACTGTATAAGAGGGAAGCGAAGATTGAAAACTATAAGAGGTCATCAACAGAAGACTATTATCTAGAAAAACCCAAAAAACTACCTGATAATAAGAAGCAGCGCTGGTGGAAGAGAAACCCGAAAAAAGAAAGAGGATAAGCGGCGACGGAAGATAGATCGGAATGGAGCCATTTTGAAAGCAAAGTGACAGCGCAAAAATCTGAACAGCTGAGTGTACAGTGAGAGCGGAAGAACGGAAGAAGGTAATTCCTATGAACACTGCGACGAGAATAGTGAATAATTTAAAAAGATTTTGATATTATTATTGGACTTTATGAGTGTGGACTGGATTGAGCGGAGAGAGTTGGACAAATAAGAACAGAACGTGCAGCACCGGAGCGAGCGGAGAGAGCGTGTGCAGTGTGGAGTGCCGGAGATCGGAGGAGAGGAGAGGAACCTGGACGGATTTCTACAAATTGATCGTATTGGATTTAACTGATGTGGAGTGGCCAGAGTGGATTTATAAATTGATCGTATTGGATTTTACTGATGTGGAGTGGCCAGAGTGGATTGAATTAGATAATTCGAAGAAGAAAAAGTCTGTGGGAGAGTGCGGAGAGTTGGGACAAACCCCGGTAAAATTGATTGGAGTGGATTTATACAAACTATCTTTTAGTGATACTTCTTGTGAAGATTAGGATACAAAACTGATACAAAGTGTGAGGGACTTTGATTATTTGACTACTAGAGACTGAACTGTTTGGATTGAACAATTTAAATATTGACTAATACTTGGTGAACCAGATGATAAGGACTTAAATAGAGGATACAACATTATACTCTTGGGATCGGATGTGGATTCTAACAACGGGAATACAGAGGACTATAGATTAAATTGGATCGTGGAATAATTAAAGTGAATAGGGTGACTCAGACCTTTGGAACCGTATTTGGTTGGAAGAAAGATAAGTTTACATAACACCAAGAAAGATAAAAGATTATAATTAATGGACAATATATATATGCTTGGCTTGATTTAAGTTTATTCTACTATATATCATAAAATACTAGACCCGGAAAATAACCTTTAATAACTTATTAGTTTTTTTCTTAAGTAGTTTGTCTAATTTGTTTATTTGAAATTAATTAAACATTTATAGCATATTATCTTCAATTATATTTAATTAATTTATTCATATACAGTAAATGATTTTAAATAATTAGATAGAACTATAATAATTAAATTGATATTGATACTATTTTAGAACTATTATAATAAAATACATTTTATTTTGTAAGTAATTGAAGAATAAGGTAACTAATGAATTGTTAGAAGCTTACTTTTTCCCCGTTGTTTCCCCCTTCTCTTGCTTCCCCCCCCCCGCCTTCCTTTTTGCTGTTTTCCCAATATCGTATTATTAACCAGAAATACTCTGAAAAAACCTTGTAAAAATAATCCTGCATCTAGGTTATAAACATTAGACGTGAGAATTTTATGAAATTGTGGGCAAAAATAATAAGCATAATAGATATGGCAACCTCAAACATACCAACTACTATTAAATCAACCAAGAAAATACCCCCAACCCAAACACTATTGGTGGCTTCCCCAGTCCAGCAGAAGACAGGGGAAACAACAGATAAAGAAAAGACCAACATAGGTATTCAAAACATCCAAGCTGCCCTTGCAATGATTCAGGAGGGAATGAAAAGGATGGAAGATAAGATGACCCTGAATCATGATGAAACCAAAAAGAACCATGAACAAATGCGATTGGATGTAGGGGAAATTAAAGATGAGATTAGAAATATAGATGAAAAAATAGAGAAAATTCAACAAAATATAACCGAAAACGAACAGAGAATCCATAAAGTTGAGGAAAAGGTGGAAGTCACAGCTACCAGGTTGGAACAGATGGAGAACCAACAAGCAACAAGAAGTCGAGACACAGAAGACGCACTGACATTTCTTGAAATGGAAAAGGCATCTTTCTACTTAAGATTTCAAAATATAGAAGAACAGAGAGAGGAAGACTTGGGCGAAATTATGGTTGGAATTTTGGCAGAGGCGACACATAAGGATAAGGATGAAATAAGAGGTGGTATCGACGAAATTTACAGGGCCTTCACAAACTATGCCAGAAGAAACAAACTCCCTAAAGAAGTACACATCAGATTTACAAAAAAAACAATGAAAGAAGAAATATACCGAAAGATGAGAGAGGAGACAGTCATGTACAAAGGGAGGGAAGTTCTAACGCTAAAACAAGTACCGAGAAGGGCCAGGGATAGGAGAAGAGAATATAACTTCTTAACCCGACAGTTAAATAAACTCAAGATTAAATTTAGATGGCTTATACCAGAAGGAGTACTCATTTCTTGGGAAGGAAGAAAATTTCGAATCGACACCATAGAAAAAGCCCAGGACTTCGCAGACCAACATTTAGGATATGAAGGAGAACAGGAGAAAAGAGGAGGCAGAGAAGATTCAAACCCCAGTGACCAAGAAGAGCAACCAATAAATAAGGAGGACAAGGAACGGAAGAAGGGAAAGCTGGGGAAGGAGGAAATGACGGGGATCACACAAAGAGTCACAAGAAACACATCAAAACTCAAAATAACAGACAAATAAACAACACCAGGAATGGAAGAAGAACTAAAACTCATCTCTATAAATATAAATGGTCTAAATTCACCAAGCAAAAGACATCAGATATTCACTAAACTGCAAAAATTAGGAGCAGATATAATCACCCTACAAGAGGTACACATAAAAAAACAACAGAAAAAATTACTCAAAAATAAAAAATTAGGAGTAATGTACACATCCTTAGGCGACTGTAAAAAAAGGGGAGTGGTAATATATGTTAGAGACCATATAAGAACAAAGCCGATATATGTGGACAAAGAGGGTCGAGTCTTAATAATAAAAGGAAAACTGGAAACAAAAATAATACTGTTAGTAGCCATCTACGCCCCAAATGGAAACCAAATAGACTTTTATAAAAAATTACACGATAAATTAAAAGAGCTGGATTATGAAAATATCTGCATTGTCGGAGATTTTAATGCAATTGTCAACACACGAGAAGACTACTATAGTAACAGGAAGAATAAAATCAAAAGGAAGACACTGCCACAAACATTCAAGAACTTGGTACAAGAAATGAGTCTACATGACACTTGGCGAGAATTAAATACTACAACCAAACAGTACACATACTTTTCTGGCCCACATCAATCGTGGTCAAGATTGGATATGGCCTGGATGACACCCCAACTAAGTAAAGAAACACACGACGTAGAAATTATGCCTAACATATGGGCTGACCACAACCCCATCAAAATAATTTGGAAAGGCTCCCGAAAACAAAAAAGATGGAAAATGGACACAAGCATTATAAAGGAAAAAGAATATCTACAAATGATGGAAAAAGAGATTAAGATATTTTTCCAAATTAACACAAAGGACCAAACGTCGTTACAAAATCTATGGGACACGACGAAAGCATATATTAGGGGCCTAACCATTGCATACGTGGCAAAGAGAAAAAAAGAGAAACAAAGAATCAGGAATGACTTATTGGAAGAAATCAAGATAGAAGAAACTAAATTACAACAGCACCCTAATAATAAGATAGCACAGCAAAAACTTAATTTGGCTAAACACAAATTGAATTTGACTACAAAAGCTGATTTGGCACAAAAAATAAAAATGGCAAAACAGACCAACTTTGAACACGCAAATAAAACTGGACGCTGGTTAGCCCATAAATTAAAAAAGCAAACAGACAAAAGAATTATACACCAACTCCAGGACAAATCAGGAACTTTATTCCATACACAAGTAGATAAGAAAAACATAGCCAAAACATTCTTTCAGAATCTCTATCGGCAGGAAGATGTCCCGGAAGACCAAATTCGAAAATATCTTAGTAAAGTGAATATTACACAATTCGAAGAAGAACATAGAGAGACCCTGAACCGTCCCATAACAATGACTGAATTGACTGAAGCTCGTAAAAAACAAAAGAACAATAAAACTCCAGGACCAGATGGAATTCCTACTGAATTTTATAAACACTCCCAACAAGAAATAGACGAAATATTGCTACAAGTCTTCAACGCAGCATTATTGACAGCTGAAATCCCAAAATCATGGACAGAAACCATTATTACGTTAATACACAAAGAAGATTTAGACCGGACCCAAGTTAGGAATTACAGACCCATTTCATTACTCAATGTAGATTACAAACTATTCATGTCAATATTAGCGCAGAGACTTAAAACAATAATTCATAAATACATACATACAGATCAAAACGGCTTCATACCCAGGAGGCAGATTAAAAATAATTTGAGAACGATCATAGATATACTGGAATACTACGATAAGAAAATAGATAAGGAAATAGCTTTAATATGTCTCGACGCCCAGAAGGCCTTTGATAATTTAAATTGGTCCTTTCTTACATCACAACTTGAATTAATGACTTGCGGAGAGAAATTCCTTAAATTGATAAGAAAGATTTACTCCTGTCAAACAGCCAAAATTGCAATAAATGGTGACATGACACAAACTTTTGACATTCAGAAAGGCGTACGACAAGGTTGCCCCATGTCACCTCTATTATTTATAATCGCACTGGAAGTTTTACTAACGGAAATCAGGAAGGAAGAAGACGTAGAAGGCCTTAAGATTCGGGGAGAGGAGTATAAATTACTTGCCTTTGCAGACGATGTGATCTTCATATTGGAAAACCCAATACGATCTGGAACCAGGTTGATGACAATGATAGAGGAATACGGGGAAGTTGCGGGCCTCAAAATAAATAAGCAGAAGACGAAAGTATTGACGAAGAATATGACCCAAACACAACAGTTGAAATTAGAACAAGAATTAGGACTTCAAATAGTAAAGAAAATAAAATACCTAGGTATTTGGCTGACAGCAAAAGCAACTACAATTAAAGAAGATAATTATACCAAATTGTTAAAACAAATCAAAAAAGACTTAGAAATTTGGAGTAGATTACAACTCTCATTGATGGGCAGAATTGCCTCAATAAAAATGAATATATTACCAAGAGTACTATATTTATATCAAGTGATACCAATACACCCCAGAAGAGATTTCTTTAAGAACCTCAACAAAACAACAATGAACTACATATGGCAGGGAAAGAAGGCCAGAATTAAAATCAAAGCCCTACAGGATTCACGGGACAAAGGAGGTCTAGCAACACCAGATTGGGAACTCTACTATAAGGCATCAGGATTGACCTGGATTAAAGAATGGATGGAACTCGACAACAAAAGAACTTTATATTTAGAAGGCTTTGACTTAATAAGAGGATGGCACGCTTTCTTATGGGACGGATCGGATAAAAGACACATGTACTTCCAATGTCATATAATTCGAGCTTCATTATTCAAGATCTGGCAGGATATTAAGAGAACTCACTATACTAAAATACCAAAATGGTGGTCCCCGATGGAAGCATTGATATACCTGAACACTCTCGAAATAGGAAAAATGATGAGGTACCAAGACTTACTAAATCATGAAGGTGAACTCATTTCAAGACAGCAACTCCAAAACTCCGGCATAAATATCGATTGGTGGCCCTATACTCAAATACACTCAAGACACATAGCAGACAAAAAGCAATATGGAATCTCGAATAATTTGAATGAATTGGATAAGATTTTACAAGGCCCAGAACAAAAAATGATAACCAAATTATATAACTACTTACTTAGATATAAATTACTGGAAGAAACAGTAAAAGAAAATATGATAAGATGGGCCAGGGACATAGGGCACAACATTCAACTGGCAAACTGGGAGAAATTGTGGAAACAGAACATCAAAATGACAAGAGCCATACCCTACAAAGAAAACCTCATAAAAATGTTTTACAGATGGCACCTAACACCAGCCAGACTAGCCAAAATATATCCAAACACCTCCCCACGCTGTTGGAAGTGCAAAACAAAAAAGGGGACATACTACCATGCCTGGTGGAAATGTACAAAGGCCCAACAATACTGGAAGGACACAAAGGAAATTATTGAAGGAATAATAAACCAACAAGTAGAAAACACTCCAGAATTTTTTTTATTTGGAATGATAACAACACAACACAACAAAGAGACAAAATACCTCATCATACACATCTTGACAGCAGCACGGTTACTGTTTGCGCAAAATTGGAAATCAGATCAACTCCCAACCAAAGACAAACTAATCTCGAAGATAACAGAATGTGCCGAAATGGATAGACTGACACTAGAACTCCAAGATAAAGAAGAAAGTGAATTCTATCTTGTATGGCACCAGTGGTATCAATGGCTAGAAAAGAAAATCAGTACAAATATAGATGAAAGAAAATAGGGTAGAAAAAATAAAACCGGAAATAAATAAATAAAGAGGAGATGCAAGATTATTTCTAATCTAAAACATCCAAATTGACAATGTATTACTTATATATTAACTTATAAAGCAATATATATTCTGATGATGATCAAAACATATATGTAAAGTTTGGTGTGGGTAGGTTGGTGGTGGGAACTTGTTTGTCTTTGTAATGTCTTTGTATTTTTTGTATTGTCTTTATATCTCTGTTTAAAACTCAATTAAAAAAAAAAAAGATTTTTCTTCTCTTCTCCTTTAGGGGAAATTTTCCATACTGATTCCTTTTAATATTAAGAATAAAGAATATTTTAATCTGGGTGAGTGAGGGCTTCCTACATGCCTTTTGAAAAAGCACCTTTGGGACAACCATAACCTGGACGACCGAGAATCTGCTAGACAAAGTAGTAGTTTTCTTGAAAAATATTATATATATTATATATTATATTATAATATTATATATATATATATATATATATATATATATATATATATATTTAAAATTTTTATTTTAAAACTTGTGCTAAGCTTTCGTCGGCCCCTACCGACTTCATCAGAGTATAAAATCCCCATTGAGGAGCTGCTTGCTTTTATGTGATGCTGATCAATTTAGTCATTGCGCGTGTAACAGGCCCACACCCTTGCCTTCCCCCTGTAATTATCTTTTTTTCTGCCTTTGTCATGCTGACCGATGACAATGCACCTTCCCCTGTCTCCTTCCCCATTGTGTGTTGTCTCTTTCCCTCCTTGGGGGGCAACGCAGGGTTATCAGGCATTGCTTTGAAGGTATTTCTCCCTCATTGTTATGCCTTTCCCTTTTAGGCACACATGTTGCCTCCTCTAAACCCATTTGTTTTACCCATGATCTTGTGATGGGTCTGCGTTGTTCTTCCTTACCCCCCCTATCTTCCTCATTCTGCTGTTTCCCTAACTTACTCTCTTGCCCTCTATCAGGGTTTATCACACCTTCATTCGGCCACTCTCCATGCCTAAAGGAGGAGATTTGTCCCCGATCTCCATTCAGTCTTAGTGATCGGTCCTCCTGATCTTGAACTTGCTTGATCTTGATCTTGATCTCCAGAACTTGCTGGCTGCCAGAAAGGAAAAAAGCCCAAAATCGAGTGGAAAAACACACATAAATCCTACGAAGAAGTAACTATATATATATATATATATATATGATCTGATTCAACAAATAAATTTGATCCTTGTTTTATAAACTCATCTGTGATATGGTAGTAGGAAAACAATTGTTCTGCTAGTCAAATCATTTTAATTTAAGGCATAATTAGGACCAGTTGTTGATGACATTAAACAATCAGGGTTGATTTGGCCCAGACACTGGTCTGCTTTATCACTGTATAGATTCTAAAGACATATTATGTCCACTTGAAAGAAATTTCTGAGCATGTTCGTTAAAAGATATTTGATTCCTGCCAGTCTGTTTCAAATTTGAACATCAAGAAAAATACCATACATCGAGGACATGTGAAAACAGCATCCCTTATAATATTGAAGACACAGTGAATACTCCTATATAATAAAATCAATATTTTATTGCCATGCTACAGTTCTTTGTGAAGCTGGCACTTCTGGGGAGGACAATGCTATCAGTATTACAGAATACATTTCAAAATGGACATCATCTGATAAATCAATGTAAAAGCAAGCTTAAATGGTAATATATGGTTGTTGAAAAACAAATACAGCATGTTTTTAAGAACAACACTATTGCTTCAAAAGAAGCCTGGAATGTTTAAAAAGAGCCATAGTGGAGGGGAAAAAAGATTAAAACAGCTTTTGAAATTTTCAAGGAGTATTTTGGCAACTTTAGACTTTTTAATATATAAAATAAAATTCTAGAAAGCTACTTTCATACAAAGTTGCTATATTGATGCCTTTATGTAGGAAACATTTTTATAATTCAAAATTAGGACATACAACTTTACAGTATTTTACAATGTAATGAAAAATTAACATACAAATACAGATTTGGCTTTTATAGAAATGTATATTTATGCATTTCAGAAATGCATTTGTGGCACACTGGTGATTACAGGACTGTTACCTGTTTTCATATTAAGATGTCAGATTAATAACTTCTGAAACACTGCCTACTTTTCTACCTACAGTGGTTCCAAAGACATAACAGTAGGTGATGCTACAATGAATGGAACTTTATGCCATAAAAATAAAAAGGCATCATACTTGCTGGTTGAGACACACTGTAACATAGTATAATGTACAAACACTAAATCTTTTTTACAAAATGGAAGCATTTCCTTTACATTCGATGACAGTCTTACAAGTGACACTATCTGTATTCCTAGTTTAGCAAATAATAAGAATACAGAGTTAATATGTATGTACTTTTAAAGGTGAAATTAAAGTTTAAGATGTTGACATCCATTGTTAACAAGTATAGAAATTCCTGAGTGAAGGGTCCTCTCCATTTATAAAATCATTTATTTCACATAGAGTATTTCAAAACTCAAAGCATGAAGAGAAGAAAAATTCACAGTAATATTTAATTACACACATATCTGAACTTATTGTTTAATTATTGAATACTCTATTTACTGAGCATTTTTCCATATTTTTTTTGGATAATTGCTGAAAAAGACAAAATTCATGTTTTTTATTACATTAGTAAATTTAATCTCTAAACTTTGAGAAGATTTCGATCATTCTTCCCTTTAGCAGAAGGTAATACAATTTGTGTAATTGTATGACAATATTATTTCCACTGTTATAAATATTTATATGGCAAAGATTGGGTCTCTGGAAAGTGAGAATTAGAAGACGACACTTTCTAATTTGGGGCCAACTTCATCCTTTCATATATTAGAGAAATTGTCTAATTGCTTCTATACTCTTTTAAGGCTGTGTGTGTTTGTGTGTAGCCCTCTACCTCATAAATTTTATTACATAATGTTTCAAAAGGACATCTCACTGAGAATTATGTTTTCATAAAGGCCCTGTTCCAAGACAGTTTTTTATGAACATACAGGAAGACCACATTGTGCCAAAATAATTAATAAATTCATTTATAAGACTAGCACGCATTACAAATGTAAATACAAAGGTTAACTCTAGTGGCTATGACAGACAATATGTATGTTACCAAATATATAATTTTAGCGTTAAAAAACAAAAATAATTTACATACCTTTTGCAAGTAAATGGTTAAAATTTGATTTTCAGCAATGCTTCATGGGTTATAAAGGCTATTTTGAGGGATCTTAACTTTAACATACATTCTTTCACAAGAAATGCTGTGATTTGGAATAAAATTATGGAAACGAGAAATAAGCTTGTGAAAGACTCTCACTCATTTTTCCTCCAGTATCTCTACCAAAATCTATGAGAATCGATGCAATCAGTTCTCAATCATCTCAAACTGGAGCACCCTGTGTAGCAAATTCCATTCATCCAAGATATCTCCCACAATGATCCTTTACACCTTATCCTATGATGTTTTATTTGCTGCTCGAATTCTCGGGGGCAGGTTTTCCAGGGTGTGGGGCAGGAAAATCCTGTAACTCCTGTAATTTAATGTTCCTTCTGCTCATAAGTCTCAGGCTCTAGTCTTATTAGCATGTTAGTGTATTAGCATGTTAGGCCATAAAACTTGAAAAACAACTTGGCTATACCACAAGAACTGCCAATTATGAAGTCTGTGGTGAGGATTTATTTATTAGAATGCATTCAATAGTGCTGGTACATAGTGTTTAAACACTGTTATAAAACGGAAGAATGCAATCCAAACTGATACTTAGAACATATCTCATAAATAGACAAAATTTGTTTAAATCAGGTTGTCTTGGAAATTTGTGTTTCAGTTGGGGTATCCAAAATGGGCTGACCACCTTAACTATTAAAATAGTGTTTTATATCATTAGTAAATGTAGAGAAACTCTACATTTGACCGTTTATCTGATCACACACAATAATTAAATAATATTAGCAAGTAATCCGTTGTTGCAATGCATTGCTAATAGAAAAAGTAAAAGCTTAGCAAGAGAAGATACTGTAAGATCCAACAAACTAGATTAGTTTGTTTATACCACTATAGTAGTATAGTATCAGAATATCCAAGCATTTTTAATAATTCTAGGCTTCAAATCTAATTCAGGACTTCATAACTTCCTCTTAGTTTATTTTTTAATAAATGCACACATTTTAGAACATAATTTTGAAATTAAATGGGAAGGCATTTGCCATAAACTTTTTTATAAACTTAGAATGGATACAATTTCTCAAATAGAGGAAGGGGAAAGGGCTTTCATCAAGATTCCAAGAACAAGAATTCAAGATACTTTTAAAAAAAAAGTAATCATTATATAGTGGGATCATATGCAATATTGCTTTGATATATTCTATTACCAATTTTCTTTTACATAATAATACAGTAAGTACATTTCACTGTACTATTCCTGAGTACATTGAGATAAATTTTAATAGCCAGAAATTTCATTTCAGCCCAAATTATCTTTATCCTATCTACCAAATAACTTGTATAATTTCGATCTACTTAATACTATGTCTGCTGCCCTTTCAGTAAATGTTCTATTTTATCGTCTGCTGGCCAGAAATAAAACTTAACAAGCTTTCAGTGAATATACCCTTCCTATTAAAAAAATATGGCAATGCACCCATATATTTTCTACCTTCAGTAATGCAGTATAACAATACACTACATTTTAGTCAGTTAAAAAATTGACAGGAGGGGACAGGTGGGAGTATATGAAAAAACAAGATTAAAAAATAGTCTAGATCAGATTTAGACTAAATAGACAATCAGATTTAGCTGGTTTCTGATATCACTAGATAATAGTTTTTGTCAGGATAATTAAAATTTAAATCAGTTGCTATTGTTAGAAACCTTTTAATTTTGACTAATAAATGGACAGATGCAATAGTGCAAAACTCACTGAAAATCAGTAAATAATTAAAAACAGAACAGATAAGGGTAACTGAACCCAGCAGAGAAAACATCAGAGTGGTTGTTATTGTTTGGCACCTGTAGTGCAAACAAAAGCGTATACCTCAAGGTAGGAATTTGTGCAATGAAACTACAAAGGGAAGCCCTATGATGATGACTGGATCATTTTAGCATGCAACTGCACATTGCCATAGCAGAACCACTTTAGAATAAATCATAAAAAGACCATTTTTACTATCTTGAAACTGCTTTATCTCATCAGCTTCAACAGACACTGACAATTCAGAGAAGCCTCCTGCACGTATTTCTTCTATATAGAAATAATTCAATATGTAAATTATTAGAAGTTCAAAGAGACAATCTTATTTTCTATCATGCTTTAGTAAAGCACCTTTTAGTTGAATTTATCAAGCTGATCATCTCAACATGTAGTCATGGGCGTGTTATCTGTTCATGTGTATAAAAGTGCCACTGGCCTTCCAGACTGACTTTCCTATGAAAAAAAAAAGGTATCTGGTAGTTGAAGTAGCTGAAATGTGTTTTAAATGCCTACTACAATCTTCAAAGTTATGGTAGACTAAACAGACTCTCTGTAATGGAGGCACATTTTGTTTGTGTGTGCAAAGCAATTTCTTATCATCTCAGATCTGTTTCTAGCCTTCATGTACTTAGATAATATGGAAAAAGGACCTATGTGCAAATTTGTTTGATATAATTTGGCATGTTATGTTTATAGTCTTGATCTAGAAATATGGCACAGAAAAAATGGATAGAATTATGATTTTACTAAATATAATTTTCAGAATAGCAGCGTACATGCTGTTCTAACTCTGATGGCACCTTATTTTGGCAAACTATTACATCTTCCCTTAGGCTTTTCAGTACAAAACTATCACAGTAAAAGGCTTCAAGTGTAGCAATTTTATCTCATTTCTTGTATCTTTCAACCATATTGAAATTCAGGCTAAATTATCACAAGGTTACAAAAAAAAGGATTATCAGCGTTACTAAAAGCACTATATTTTTTAAAAAAATTCATTACTATGCCTGTTAATTCCCCTAAATGTTTATTTTCAGTGTTGTTCTGATAAGCACTTTGCAAGTCCAATGCAAATATTAGTACTGATGAAAAGAAAAGCAGTTGGAAATTTGCAATTATGAATTTACCATAATGGACTCTATCCATGAAAATGTCATCAGCTGACAGCAGCTAATGAATAACTATCATAATTACTTTCCAACATACTTAGAAGGTAAGGTTTAGGTACTGAATATATGAAGACTAGAGAAACAGAATTAAACACAGCTCATCATATGAAATTTTATGACAAATCTTACTTTTCTGGTTACATTAGCTTTCCTATTGTATTTTCAGAATTTTGGAACTTGAACTTTTTCTACAACCTGGTCTCTTCAAGTGTTTTGGAAATGCATTGCCTCTAATTTTCAGCCAATATGTTGGCTTAGAAATCAGACCATTGTCGCACAGCACATTTGGCACCAGTCTGGAGAAAAACTATTTAAGCCATGGGGTTCTACCAAACTGTTCCAGTTAACTGCAATACTGTAGATTAAACCGAGGGGAACTCCTATATTATTCTGACTTTTTTGGGTTAATGTTCCTTATAGAGAATATTCTTAAATTTATTGACAACAAAACCGAAATGTTTGCCAGATAGAACAATATTAAAATGTATCATAAAGGAAACACCGATCTTTCCATGACAAAGAGTTCTAGTTGAATATCTAATTATATTGTTACACACTACAACTGAAACACCTTTCAGGCCATTTATCTCCCTAAGCATTCTAGTGAAATAAAAATGAAATTACAACAGAATAGGAACTTTAGCAAAGAGAATCCCCCTTCTCTGTATATGTGCACTCTCTCTCTCTCTCTCTCTCTCTCTCTCTCTCACTCTCTCTCTCTCTCTCTTCTGGAATTGGAGCCAGTATGCTTCTGAATGGTAGCTGCTGTGTAACAGTGACAATGCCACTGCACTCTAATATTCTTGTGAACTCCCAGATAAACCTGATTGGCCACATAGAAATTGCCTTTTGGTCTGACTGAATACTGTTCTTACGTTTCCAAAGGTTTCATTGTTGTTATCTGAACTCACAGTGATGCATGCATTTTAAATGCAACATTCTAAATTACTAAGTGTTAGCAGTGTTGCTATTGCTCCAGATCTGGAACACTAAATACTTTCCAAAATGAATAATTATTGATTGAAGAATTTGGTGCTTCTTTGAAGGGTGGTGACACTACCTGAAAGTTCATAATCTGATAGAATTAGTACTTTCGTTTATAAATGTATTATTACCATTTGACATAAAATAAATGTAATTTGGGAATAACTGTTTTACTAAAAACCTAGGGGCTTTTAGTCCTCTTTAGTCAGAAACAGATTTCCTAGAATCAACAGGTATTAAATCCTAGTTAAGTGTCCATAGGACAGTATTTTGTGTAGAAAACAGTACATTGTTATGTTTAGCTATCCAAATCTACTTCCACTGCTACATAACATGAATATTTACTTTCAGAGCTTCGTTTTAAAATAAGAATTCCTTTAATTTCTGCATGATTATACTAAGGTCTACATATTGTTTTAAATTCAAATAATAAAATCTTACTTTATTACTATATTGATCGTTCCAATGTTTTCCCATTTTCTTTATTGTTGAAAAAATCAATACCTTATGGTACAAATATATGGATGTCTATTGAGAAGTAAGTGAAAACAGACTTCTAATAGGACTTAGCCCCAAGTAAGTAGATGAAGAATTGCAGCTTTAGACAAAATATATTATGCTATAACACTAGCCAGATTTGAATTACCATTTGAATAAAAATGCAATTTTGAAATTTTATAAATATGTGAAACAGTATCATTATGTGCTGATCTATATAATTCATGCTTTTCAAGTCCAGTGAGGAAATATACTTCCTCTAAATTTCAGTTTTTTCATAATGTCTGGCTTTGTTTTGTTTTTGTTTTTCCCCTAGGAAACCATACTAACTAAACCACTTTTTTTCTACATTCTCAAAATGGCAACATCTCTTCAGATAGTTCTCCACTTATAGCAACCATTCAGTGTTAGGATGGCCTCAGGGTGTTTTAATGGCCCATAAAGCACTTCTGGCCACCATCAAATGTGCTCCCCCCCAGCTCACATTTAAAACTGGTTGCAGCATCCCATGAGCATGATCTGTGACATTTTTTGCTCATTTTCAGCAAAAAATGTCCATTTGGGAAAGTGGATTTGGACTTATGACCGTGAGATTTGCTTAACAATTGCAGGATTTGGACTTATGACCATGTGATTTGTTTAACAACCACTGTAAAAAAAATCAGGTCTGGTCACATAGTGCCTTGACTTACAACCAAAATTCCAGTCCCAATTGTTGTTGTAAATTGAGGACTACCTGTATAAACTTTATAGCTGCTTATAAAAGGTTTTACTTTTTTGAATTGTAGAAAGAAACGGCTTCATACTGTTATAAACTTTGCACAGCACTGAATACGTACAGACATCTAACTGGGAATTTGACAGAGTCAAAAATAGATTGAAAGGTAAAAAAAATCAGCAATGGCAAATGTATAGGAAGTATTTAGGAGTAATTAAGCTATCAAGTATCTATTAAAGAGTTATGAGTATTAATTTAAGAGACTACCTATACATTTAGTAGGCATTCCATTTTTACTTTTAGTAAAACTGACTTAAGAGGGTCATCTGATATCAATCACATTATAGAAAAGAATAGCTTATAACACAACTGAAAGGATTTTTGCTTGTAGATAACAGGGCTACAAACTATCATTATTCATAGAATTAAACCATGTTACTGGCTTTTATAAGTAAGTCATACAATGTATTAAATCCATCATTCTAACTGATACTTTGGTTTGCAATTCTTTTTTTCTGGGTTAAACTGAATATGAAAACATATTACATCATGCCTCTGTAAAAATAACAATGCTTTGGAATGAACATAATGCATCTTTAAATTTGTGAAAGTCGGCTCTCTTAATTGACAATATTACAAATGGGCCTTTCCAATACAAATGAAAAACACTGAAGAAAATGAAACACAGGAAATATGCTGAACACAAATTACATACAGAATTAAGCTACTGATACAACTGAAAAGAGGGAGGTAAAAGATTTTCAAAAATAAAAGGTAAAAAGAACCCACTGTAGATACATGATTGTGAATTATATTAAAAACATCTAGAGTGTGAGTATCTGTATAAAAGTATAAAAAGGAGCTATCTAAAGCAAGACAAATTTTAACTTCTTTGATGGAAGAAACCTGATGGAAAAAAAGTAATGCTGTATCTCATATAACAATAGTGGCAGGTGAAATCTAAATTCAAGTTGGTATATTTAAAAAAATAACTAACACAGAAGTTGAAAACTAAAGAGACCTGTGCATTAGTGGTACTTTTAAATACTTTAGGAGGAGACCTGATTTTTTACTTCTGTTTGCATCCTGTCAGAATGCATGGAATAGTTGTTCCAGGAGGCCTTCATAGGTCGTTGAAGGTCTCAAAAGCAATTTTAGATAAAGTAATAGAGCTACACATAGAAAAAAGAGCTAGAAAAGTTGTACTGTAGGTAAATGCAATATCATCCGTTATGTCCTAAATATACAATTTATAGCCCTTAGCCCATAAAGCATAATACTCCTTTAACAATATCCATCTTCACTTGGCAAAAGGTTTGAAATTATTGTCATTTTCCTGCTAAATGATGTACCTTCTTCATATTATTACCTGTTGTTATTAACTTGAGAAAGCAAAAAAAAAATTATAGAACTGCAACACAAACTTTTTAATAAAATTGTACCAGAGCATGTTTTAAATTACTAGTTGTTGGACTTATGGTTAGTGAATTTAAAGTGCATCTAAAGATCATGGGTAATTTTAAACCAATTCCATGAGCTATATGACATCTGAATGAAATCTTAATGAAGATGACAATTTCATCCATTTATCTCTCTCCCAAATCAGTTACTAAACAGCATTCTCCTCAGTACTAAAATTGGCTTTATTAGATTTACTAAAAGGATTTACTATAGAAAGCTGCTCCTATTAGGAGAAGTTTGGAGGGTAACAGCTGCCTGTCAGTCCTTTCTCATAAACTCAGCACTCTGAAAGAAAACTGTACCATGATTTGACAACTGAAGTTGACTAAAATCTTTCTCATTTATATCACACATAAATTCAACTGGAATCTGTGAGTCTGTTAATATACTATGAGAAATTCTACTGATTTGCAAATAATGCAAGTTTCAGGCAGCATAGGAGTGTCATAATGCCTTGAGTTATTTTAGGCACATGGCCAATTTGTTATAATTGGCTACTATAACTTTCAGACAATAAAATAGGCACTATAAAAATGGCAAAAATATTTAAAAGCTGTTTCTATAATTATAAAGTGATAATGTTATTTAATACTTTTTCTACCTTAAATTCCCTTTAAGCAAGCAAATGAAGTATTCAGAAAAATCTATTAACCTATAAAAGGTGATAGCATTCAAAAATAAAACAGCACTCATCCAATTAAAACAATTCTTCACAAAGGTGCAAATGATTTCACTACTGCTTTCCAGGCTCACATAGGCAGGTCAGTACTGTTATGTCTAGTTTTTCTAGAAGTACCGTCGTCTCGTGGCAGTGCTTTCTGCAAGTTTGACATAGCAGCAGTTCTTTCAATATCTATCACAGCATATAGCTCGGTGCGCCTGGTTGGTGTTGGGGGAAGTGGAGTAGTAGGAGTTTTGGGAGTCTGTGGGTTATCAGAGTCACTGCCACCTTCCAAATCAACTTGTATATAATTGAGTTGCCTGTGTTCTGAACTTGGTCGCCTAATATCAAAATTGAAGACCGTAGGGGTACAGTCCCGACGTCTTGCATATTCAACTTTGTGAGCACTTGATGGTACTGCTACATTCTCTGTATTGACATAATTATGCATGGGATCTAAGTTATTATGATAGCCGTTCAAAGAGGGAGTCTTTGGTCCTAAACTGTCATCCTCTTCTTTACTTAGTTTATGAGCTTCCCAAACTGGAGGCAAAGAAGGAAGATTTTCATAATTTAACAGTGCAGTTCTCCTTTGAGCTGAATTATTGATGTTTTGAGTATCAGAAGTATTGGATGACACTAGACGACCTCTCCTGTGCCCTGGAGCATTAGGGATAGACAATCTATTTACATTTTCATATGTTAGTTTATTACCAGAAGAAACTTCTTTGCGTTCATCACTGTCATATCCAGTATCCCATTCATTGTTACTATTTCCACTAGCTTGAGTACTGCTACCACTTGTTTCAGTATTGTTCCCACTAATTTGAGTACTGTTCCCACTTGATTCCAGTTTTTCCTTCTCCATTAACTGCCGCTGGACAGGAGTAGGACCCAAAACAAATTTGACTCCTTGAGGTTCCAGTACAACCTGGGCATCCCTGTCATCAGAGCAAGTTTCTTCTTCTCTTGCCTTGTTTGTTTCTGCATTGGGAACCTTTTGTTCCAGAGGTGTGCGTGCAGTTGGTTTGTTTTTTCTTTCTTCCTGTACGCCCGTTGTATTCACATATGTATGGACCTGCAAAAGATAGAGTCCAATGTCAGTCTTATACATTGCCATATTCTTTTTCGACTCTTGATCACATAGATTTATTATATCCAACAATGATGATATATAATAATGTAGACACCCACTAAACATGAAACTGGATTCAGTGTACTTCCATCGTATACAGGGCATATTTTAGCAGTATTAATATAAATATATAATAATGGCTAGTTACAATAAAATTAGAATATGGAAAAGAAAATTCAGAAAACTTACTTGTTCCTCTGCTACAAGTAAGGGGTGTGTGGACTCTTCACCTACTGAAGGAAGACGTGCACTTCCTACTGAAGGGTGTCTGCTGGAAGGATGTGATGAAGCATCTCCATAGGAGGGATACCTTGGGTACCCATTAGGTAAATTCTGCCCACTCAATCCAGGTGCTGGTTAAAAATAAAATCCAATTATTACATTGATACTATTAATATTATTCCTTCAGAACATATATATTAATAAATACTAATTCACTACAAGTTAGATTGTAACAACTGCAAGGGCTTGTCCAGAGAGTCGCCAGGAGTGAAAAACTCAAAAAGCCCAGATTCAAACATTGCAACAAAGAGGTCAACAGAATTTCAATTTCAGCATTTTATCTTAAGGAAAGCAAAATTCATACTTTCTGTTCAGGACCAGGGGCCATATACAGTATATTAAAAAGGCCCCTAGCCTTGAGCAAGAGGCCACTTATATTAAAAACCAGATACATGTCTAGAAGCATGGACTAAGTAAAGGATAGTAAATAAAAATAAAAATAAATGCAATTCTTGAGTTGGCCTAATCTGCATCAGATTTCAGTCATTAAAATTTATAACCCACACCATTCTGAAGACTTGGAGCAATTATTTATTGTTTTTTAATCAGTAACAAAATTGAGAAAAAAGAGCAAAAAACCAAAGACAATAATGGGGGATATATACATTGTCAAAGAGAAGAAGAAAAAATATATCAAACATGCTTTAGCAAAAAAGTGAAAAAATAATAAATAAAAAAAAAACAGTACGGTGGGTCATTAGAACAATATATATACATACGGTACATACATACATACATATATGTGTGTTTGTGTATTTATTTAATGTAAACATTATTCAAGTACATATATAGTTCTAATACATTTATATGACAATAATTTTTAACCTACTATATTCTCCATAAATGAGTCCTATATGGCCGTACAAAGTCTACATGTATAGGCAATTGGCCTATAAGTAGTAAGTGAATTGGGTCTTCAATCCTAATAGAGTTATATATACATTTATCTTTCTAATGCTGCAATATCAGTTTTGTAGCATAGTAAGGGTACAGAGAATCCATTTATGTTATCTGATTGTCTCCTAGGTCTGTAGTTCAAAATAACATTAAGCTCTGAAAAAATTAGCTCTTCTTGTGCAATCATATTTATATAATCCAGTACTTTCTCCCCAAATGTGGTAAGTATATGGCACTGTAGAAACATATTCTCTCCTCCAATACATTTACATATGTAAATCCCAGGCCATTCTGAAGTCTTTCCAAGAGATCACCTCAGTAGGTGGTCTCTTGGAAAGAGAGAAGTCTTTCCAAGAGATCAGTACAGCCAGAGGGCCAATATCTGTCAGTGCTTTTGTACAGTAGGCCTCTACAATCCAAACTCTGTCCTGACTCTATAGTAAATTGTCATAGGTCATTCCCAAGACAATCTATCTCTGCCGACAACCTCCCTCCCTCAGAAACTTTCAATAACAGTGGCTAACATCAATTCTTATTAGATGTCAACTTGAAAAAAAAATACAGGAATGAATTCCTTATGACAAATTATTTTAGTCCACTAATTTACTATTTCCTTTAAAATATTAACTGTCACATGGTGTGAAAATTATGTGTAATAATTATCACTTGAAACAGTCAAAGTAAAAAAAATTGGGAACCTTAACAAATCATGTCAGCCTAGTCAATGAATTACTCATACATCAACTTACTGGTAGGTGTGAGAGGTGTTCTTGGAACCTCAATCTCTGTTTGATGTAGACTCCTTTCTACAACTGGTTCTTCTACTACATTTATGCTATTGTTCTGCATGATTTCCTGCAGCATATTAAACAGTTCCTCTGCACGAGCACACTTGAAGGCAAATATCCCTGCAAAAACATATATTAGACATCATAATAATGTATATATGCATAATCATTTACTCATATACCTGCTAATGAAAGATATTTAGTTTTAAAATTTTTAACAATTATAAGTTCCTGCAATTCCAAAGGAGAATTTTTGGTATCTATATCAGAAAACTAGTTGCAAGACCATAGCTACAGACCAAGAACTTTGGAGTACACTTGTAGCCTAATGTGTCTAGCACAGGACATGAATAATATCAGAAAACATCTCAAGAACAATTGCCTCTTAGAAGAATATAGTTTCAGAATTAATATATTTCAAGTTTTCTGGTCAGTTATAGTATCAAAATTAATGTAAACATCCTACATAAAGAAGTAAGAAGGATCTAACACAAGGTACACAGTCCAGATTCATGTCAACGTTAAAACTTGAACGAACGGAAGACAGATATGAATAGAACAAATAAAATAAATTTGATTTGGTCTCAAGGAGTAAAATCAGAAACAAAGTAAGCAGCATCGAAGATTTTCCTTTAGAGTTCTTCCACTTTTTCTTTCAGCAGCAATGAAACCCCCACCTTATTCTCATCAGCAAAGGGAAATAGTATAGTTGCAGTGTTGTATTATTTTTCCATTGAAAGCATTACGTTGATATTCTTATTAGCAATTGTATCTTTGCTATTGCTAGCTTATCTAACATCAAATATTTAATTAAATATTAAAAATTATGTACTATTCTATTCAAGCCAATAATAAATTTCAACCCCCCTTTAAATGGTAATCTATTGATTTAGTGTCATGCAAACTTCCAACAGTAGGTGGGCCATGTACTATACTGTCTGGGATGATTCTATCTTTGAAGAAAATTGTCTAGTCTGCCTCCAGGAAGGTAGGTTTATAAATTTGAAATGTATGAAGGATTTTTCCTTATAGAGCAATTTTAACAAATGTGATTCAAAATAATAAGACTTTTGAAATGCTCCATGCATACCAACTGGAGTTGGCATTATGAAAGCTGTAGTGTATAACCGATAATTTCAATACACAGTGAAGGCTAGTATTTTAAGATAAAACTAGTTTTACAGAGTTACTTGATACTTAAAACATACAACTCATACAAACAGGAAAATAATATTATACAACACATTGGAGATAAATTAATAATTTGGATAATTAGATAATAAATCATAAAAACATTTTTATACTGCATTTAACCATACTTCCTGAACAAAAAACTGAAATGTTGATAAATAAATGGGACCATGTTTGTATATTCTCAAATATAAGGCAATGATTGGATCCTAAAAATATGGTTACATATTTGCATTTATATGAGCTTAGTTTTTAAAATCCAATAAAAATATTTAACTTTTGAGAATATAAACATGTTTACAATTTATGCCACTTATCTACACATGAATAATGTGGGAGAGACTGAACTGAGATGTGATTTATACAAGGCCATTATGTGAGTTCAATGACTCACAAACTGCACTTCTCTGATATTGACCTTCAGTAGTTGGTATTCAGAAGCACATTGTATATCAACATGAAATTTCAAACAGCCACTGATAAAACTATTCTCTATGAAATTGTTTAATTTTCTCTTAAAACTCTCTAAATTAGGGGCCATCACACTCCTTGAAGCAATCAATTTCTCATTTTGTGACAATTTTTTTTTAACTCATACTAAAGCCACTACCTGGATTCAGTTGTAAAAGAGAGAGGAAAAAACATCAATTTACTTCTTTTCCAATATTTTATCTCTCTGTGGTCCATCTCTAAATTAAAAATATTTCTTCATAGGAAGAGTTCTATTGTATTACTCTGTCTTTTTCCTAATTTCCTTATGTGACTACAGATTTTGGCTCTTGTATTTTTTTAAAAAAAGAAAATCCAATAAACTCTATGTCAAGGTCAAGATTCCGACTAATGAACCCAAGCAAATCGAACCTCGCAGCAGTCATTTTTCTGTTCCTCAGTTGCCACTCTAGTTGAAACATATCTTTTTTTCTGCTGTCACTGAACACTCAATTGATGGTGTACAGGTCAATGGAAGCATGACTCTAAAATTGCTTTCTTGATCAGCAAATGCCAATTAGATTAATACTGTCTAATGTCAATAACAATCTTCCTTAACAACATAATCCTGTGTTGCAGGACAGTATTTCAGGATGAGAAGTTGGGTTTCCTTCTCCAAATACTATAATTAGTTTCAACCTTATGGTGAAGAGGGGGAATCTGAAAGATACCACTCTTCCTAAGTTCCCTTCATGTCAGGTTTTTTCTGTTACTGGTTACCTCTTGTTTTGGAAAGGCCTAAAAAAGGGAGGGAGGGCCCTCAGAAAGCAGATGGGCAGGGCTAAACTTCCAGACTACCCTTGATATCCATTCCTTTGTCAGACACAACATTCAGCCAGCTCTCATATTGATCTAAATATAATCTTTCCATTTGCCTGCAATGGAAGTTTGAAAAACTATGAGATAGCAAACATGGCCTTCTGCCTTGCCAATTGGTTATCAATAGGGCTTTGAACTTTTCAAAGCACTCAGAAGATGGAGAGAATAATTGTATCCATAACAGGGAATTCATTTAGATCAACTAATTCATTTAGATCAACTAAGTACAGTTGATCCTGGTTGGTTAATACTATGTATTTTTAAGTCGTCATATTTCACCAATACTATTAGCTTTACATTATATATTAATTCCATTTAACAGACTTATGAAATAGGGAACTATTTATACATACCTGGTCCAGTTTGACATCTACGACCACTTTCAAATGAGAAAAGATTGGAATCATAGCCATAACGGCGCAGACAGAGATAATGCCACTTGACAGAATCCCGTTTACGGGTATACAAGATTAATTCTGTATCTGTAAGTTCCATTATACCAGAACCCAATTCATTACCATCATCATCCACATTAATAACCTAGAAAATATATTTTTCAGAAAATAAACTTATGATTCACACAAACAAACTCAAATATTTATTTATACACAACCATATACTTTACTAAATATAATTGAGCAAATATTTATTAAAATATTTAGGTAACAGAAAATAAACCTAGCATAATTATAAGAATAATACATAGCTAATTGATATTTTATTTATTCCCAGAATATGAAAATGTTTCTGTATGCCACAAAATATATTTCACATCTTTCCATCATCCATTTCAGCAGGTTTAAGTAGATATAATTTATCCCAAAGATTTGGTGATATGAATTATTATATCAAGTGTTTCTAATCTGAAAATGTTACAAAAGAAAATATCCAAAGAATCTCTATGGTAAATAATAGAGACAAACACTAAGTAGCACAGATAATGGAGTATGATTTTTTGCAATTATTTGATTTACAGTGTTCAAAATTTATGAGCTTTTGTTCTGCATTGATGGGAGTTATAGTCCAAAATACAGCAGATTGCCTAGCACTGTATCCCAACCTTACTTAGCTCTCAATTTAACAATCAACTTGAAAATTGAGCTGATTTTTAAAAATTATCACAAAAATCTCCATCATTCCTTACAATTAATTTTTTCCCCTTGTCAATCACAAATCAGAATTTTGCACTCAAAAGTTTCCATGTAGAATTGTACCTTAAATTTGTTTCGATGGTTATCAGGAACTGCTTCTTTATCAGGACAGCTACAACAGCTACCCATGACTTCTTTAGAAGACCGTGTGATTACTATAGCAAAGAGAATTGTTTTAAAGACAAATGCAATAGAGAATGGAAGATGAAGTTTAAATAATTGCAAAGTATTCAAAAAACATGTTACATATTATAAAAGCAATATGAAGAGATCAAATGTATACTGTCTTAAATATATTATATTTAAATGGTTGAATAATGAACAAGGAATTCCATATTTCTAAAATATAGTATTTTTAATAATAATTCATTTGATAATGCTGTTGATGTTTCCATATACAAAAGGAAAGGTACAAGGGTGAATGCAAAAATTATATGAAACTTAGTTGATTAAGTATGCCTGGAAAAGTGCTGAGCAGAATTTAATGAAGCTGAATGGTTTGCAACAAATGTTAGACTACTTGATGCAGCAAGGAGTACAGATCTTAAAATGGAAAAGTAAGCAAATGCTGCAGGTGTCAGGCCTAGAAGCCATCTTTTGCATTAGGCCTTCAGGCCTGCCACATTTACTGCTATGGGAAACTGGGAGGGGGGATATGGAACAGGGGTGATATATAGTCATAATAACATTCCTTTCTCAGAGAGTCAGGGACATCTTGCCCTGCACCTGGAGGGGTGTGACTGGGAGTCATCTCCAGTAGGGATGGTGCATTGATTGGACCATATGATGGACATGTGGGTGCTGGGCAGGGACTTGGACTTTCCTTTGGGTGGGGAAACCCTGGAAACTTTCAGATTCGGGTTTCCCCATATGTGCCAATATGACATCTCTAATAAAATGGAATTTTGAGGAACTTCAAGCCTCTGAGTCTTCTTTCGTTGGAGGGTGTTACTTGGAACCCTGACAGCAGGTTTTACACAAATAATGAAAAATTAGAACAAATAGATCAATGTGTATACCTTGACAGAATGTTTTCTAAAGTTGGGGAAAGGGATGGAGAAATGTTAAGATATATATGTTCTGCCAGAAAGGTAATGGGAGTATCGCTTTCTAAAAAAAGGTTATAGCTAGAATACATTAGTAAACTGGCAAAGGTACTTACTTGCCACAAAAGTTACTTGAGCAGGAAAATAAAAGCTGGAAAACCACAATTTGTATTTTCAGCTAATTAAAAATCACAATAAAAACTCTGTTATTTTGGGGTAAGTTACTTTCATTTCATCTACTTACAGAACAGGAAATATAGTAACAACTATATACCTTATAATCCATATACAAGATGATTTCAGATTCTGGTACAGAAATATCTGACTGAAAGTAGATATACTCACCTAGATTTGGCCATTAATATTCGTAGCCTCTGGTATAGCAGCAGTAATCCTTTCATACTTCAAAACATCGTGTTTTCTTTCCAGATAGTTGCTGAACCTATAAATGAAAGTTTGAACAAACTGTAAAATGAATTAAGACAACAGCTTTAAATAAAAAACTGCCTCTAAAGCAAAACAGTGGTTACTATTTTGTTCTGAACCATTACTAATTATTCCCAATAAACAGCTACTATACCGTATGTGTTTCTTTTTTATATATAACAAAAATATTACTTTTAAAATTCAGTGTACAACAGAAGACACTCCACTAGGAGCGTCTTATGTTGAAATATGTTAGATGATAAGTTTTGCACATCTATTTTAATAGCAATAGCACTTAGACTTGTATACTGCTTCACCATGCTTTTACAGCCCTCTCCAAGAGGTTTACAGCATCTTGCCCCCAACAATCTGGGTCCTCATTCTACCGACCTCGGAAGGATGGAAGGCTGAGTCAACCTTGAGCCGGTAATGATAGAACTGCTGGCAGTTGGCAGGATTAGCCTGCAATACTGTATTCTAACCACTGTACCACCACGGCTCTTGTCTGATAATAGAGCATATATAAGAAAAGTTATAGATATTTTGCATCCAGCAATATTGACTTCTGTATAGTAAATAGCACTGAACAATCAACATGCCATGCTATTAAAAGCTAGGTATGTAGTGTTGATTCCTGTACATTCTGCTACACTCATTCCTCAAGATGTTGAACTGCAATTTCTGTCATCCTGTACCTTCTACTATATTGGCTAAAGAGTTGTAGTTCAACATTAGAGAGCTCCATGTTGCTTTTCTCAGCCTAGTTTAGTAAATCATGTGTAGTAGCTTATATTGTACTTAAATTACATTAAAAATAGACATTAATACTTTTGAATCCATAACATCTAACACACTTTGGGTAGTGAAATATATGAAAATATCATTTGCAGTAAAACAGGTCTAAAAAGCTGGAACATAGTCAAGTTTATGGGTGAGAAATGTAAGAATGGAAAAACTGGTCAACTACCTTATGATAGTTTCTCTTATGCGGGCAGTAAAGATTTTGTTCCATAATTTAATGAAGAAAATAACTCAAAATCCTCAAATATTCAATGTACAGACAATCCTTGCTTACCAACTGCTCATTCAGCAACCATTCCAAGTTATAATGGCGCTAAAAAAGGAGATTTATGATAAGCCCTTGCGTCTGTGGCTATCACAGCATCCTAGTGGCCTTGTGGTCAAAATTTGGGTACTTAGTAACCAGTGCACATTTACAATGATCAAAGAGTCTCGCAGTCATGTGATCATGATTTGTGAGCTTCACAGTCAGCTTCCAACAAGCACAAAAATCAAAGGGGAAGCCAGCAAGAAGTCACAAGTCATGGTCATGTGACATTACACTAAATGACTATGATGATTCACTTAATGCCTGCATTCAGAACTGATGCTGTAAGTTGGGTGTGGTCATGTGAAGTTTCACTTTACAACCATGTTGCTTAGCAACAGATTTGCCTGTTGGTAAGTTACGACAACTATAAAAGGAATGGAAAAACAATTCAGTAGTAATAGTTTAGACCAGGGATATCAAACTCAAGGTCCGCGGGCTGGATACAGTCCATGAGGTGTTTAGATCTAGCCTGTGGGGCCACCCTGGAAACAGCAAAGGACCGGCCCACGGGGCCTCTGCCAGTGAAAACGGAGGTCAGGAGGGCAGCCCTCCCAAGCTCTGTTTTCACTGGCAGAGCACTTGTGCCACCACAGGTGCCCTTGACATGAGTGACATCAAGCTGGCCATGCCCACCCTAGCCACGCCCATCCGGCCACCCTACGTCAAACACAACCCTGATGCAGCCCTCAATGAAATCATGTTTGACACTCCTGGTTTAGACAATGAACAGCAAACCACCATATAGGTTGGACTTACATCTAGCCATCTCTCACTAAACCACATTTTAGCTTTTGACCATGATGTATAAAATCTGATTGGGTTCTAATACTTGTGTGGATCAATACCTAGATTCTAGTATTTAAGTAGCAAATTTAAATTCTATTTATTTAATCAGTTTGAAAAGCTGCGTATCTCAGCAGCAAACAATAACAAATAGTATAAAAACAATTATATTTTGAATTAAAAAATTATAAGTTATAGCAGCTGAGAAAAACAACAGTCAGCAGTGCTAATACAGCCAGGAGACAGGCTCTTTCACACACTCAGGGTCCCAGGCCTGGGCACAGTACCTGGTCTTTACTGGTCTACAAAAAGATTGCAGGGTCAAGGTCTAATTTCCATAAGGTGGCTGTTACAGTGGACTCTTGGCCCTTGTCAACCAGTACTCCTTAGCCAATGCATGCCCATCCTGCTGAACCAGATTGGAGAAGTAGAAATGAAATTATATGTTTTTAAACATCAAACTTCTTGCATTAGAAAAATCTGTCGATATCAGTATCAAGGGGGCAGGAGAGAAATATATTAAATTCAAGTATTATATTTTTAATATCTAATGCTATAAAGACGGGCTTAAAAGTAGCATGAAGTATTTTTTATTTTTATACAGATTTTTTTTTGGTTAAGTTTTATAACAGAATGCTCCAGCTGCTTGTTTTCAGAACATGAAAGAGACTACATTTAGTTTGGAACCTTATGAAAACATTCTTTAAATACCACAACAATAAAAGGCTCAGGAAAGTGAAGACTACTTCCCCCAACACCTTAGTATAATCCTGAAAGAGTTGTCAAAAAGGAGGTTTAAATGAATTTGCCCATTTGTACAAAAAGCAGTTCAACATTTTGAAGGAAGAAAGGTGAAATCATGAAACAACAGCGTATCACACATGATAAAGTCAAAATCTTTCTGAGATCTTTTTCATAATTCATAACTTCATCAAACATTAGAAGCTCTGTGTCAATCGTCCCAACATGGTCAATTAGAAAAGAAAGACTCTCAAATCCATTCTAAGTGAAAGTACACTTCACTAAAGCCAAGTGATTACAAAGATTCAAAGTCGGATCTGAGATTTTCGCATCCAAAACATAACCTTCCCCCATGGTTATCTCTAGGTCTCCAACTGGATTCAATTTGTTTGGATAACAGTCCGTCTTTGCAGACTGGATGGTGCTGCATTCCACAGTGTGACCTTGGAACTGCCAGCAGTTCTCATGGGACAGCAAGATGCTTAATTCTGATTCCTCTCTCCCCTTCCCACCCTGCAGTTCCTTCCCCCCCACTGTATGTAGCAGAATGACAGCAAGCAAAGCATGGCGTAGCAAGATGGCAGTCCTGTTGCAGATACAACAAAATACAGAAATTATTCAAATAATTATTCAACTATTTTTCACACTTCCTGCATCATTCCAGCATAGTTAAACTTGTAAAAACAGGTTGGTACCTATTAGCATTTATTTTTTAAAAAACTACATATAGCTCTTAAGAGCATTACTCCATTAACATTAGTCCATTAAATTTGAAAAAAAAAGTATTTAAATGGCAGTTCACATAATATCCACTTTGGTAGTGAATGCTATGAAAGCATGATTCAGAAAAATCATAGATTCATAAATATGTGTATAATACTTTTTTTTTCTTCAGTCCAGTATTTGTTTCAGCAAAAACAAATTTCAGAAACAAGGAAAAATATCCTCAACTTACACATCTGATAAAAAATAACCTGCTTAGATATCTTCCAACTTACGATACCTATCACCTTTTATTCCCAAGTATCTTTTTATTCAGCATATTTAAAGAACCATTTTTTTTCTTACCAGTTTATTATGTTTGAAGGTATTAATTACCAACTGCCTTCCTGTCCAGAACCTTCAAATTGCTGTTAATTTAGTCTTCCTCACATGAACTAGTTGCAATCTAATCTTTGGTAAGATTGGTTTTCTAATACCATTTCCTTCTCTTTTAGATAAATTCAAGCTACAGTACTAGTGTTATTTAAAATATCATCTCTCCACTCTTCCATAACTATCTGATGCATTAAAGGTACCATTGAGCTGATTCAGCACATATGGAAGAGTCTTGCCTGAATATGTAGCCTTTTGCCTACATATGCAATTTCTCTTTGTGATAAGTCCAATTAACCAGAAACATCAATTAATCATAGCTTCCTGTTTTATCCAAATTAGGAAGATAAAGTTAGCAGTGCAGGACAAGCTGAGTGAATTTATCAGAACATAAGTCAGTGAAGAATCAGAACTTTGGCTCATAACATTCATGGTTTAGTGGGTATTATGGAGACTTACTGGGATGTTTTTTTATCACTGGAGAATCCAATGAATTTATCCTCGAGCACAAAAAGATTTAGCTGTTGGTTGGTTGAACCTTTATTTATTATCCTTGAGAAATTGTAGAGAATTTATATGAATCTGAAGTTGTTTTAATATTCTAAGCTATAATGAAGCTGATAAAGATAGTTTCATAGTTCACAGGAAAGAGAAATCATATCTAATAAAGGATTTGTGTGGCAAAAGGCAGAAACTACATGAATAAGCCAAAATTATTTCACGTCACATTATTCTGTTGGATGTGTATGACCTGTATTTCACACTAGCAGCTCTTATTTATTAATTATTCATTATAGACATTGGCAAGCCCAGTCGGCCATCATTTCAGAAATATTTCCTTACTTAAACAGAAAAACAGAATAACCAAGGGCAGGCAAAAAATCAGTGGGAATAGTAGCAACGTCCAACTTACTATTCGCTTCCCCATTGAATTTCCTTGTGAAAAGCTGAATGAGTATTGGAAACCTTCTTCCCTCCCTCCACCTCCCAGCAGGCAGGTAAGTGGTTGCTGCTGAGTAGGGAAAGGAAAAGGGGTTGTGCAAGTGGCCAGGAAGTGTCAGGGAGTGTTGAAAATGAGGACAACATGAACCTTGCAGTACAACAATCCAGTAGCACTGAAGCAGCCACCACTTCCCTAATTTCATTCTCTCAGAAGAGAGGAGTCCCTGCATTCTGTAAATTAGCTCATTTGAGGTATCTCAGTTGACAAGGTTTTGCCCTATGATGCATCACTTCGTTCAGTTAAGTTTCTAGACAGGAGATTTTTAATACCATATAGATTATAT